GGCCACTATAAAAATATACGAGTCCTTCACAATAATCATTAGTCACATAAAATGATACTTTTTAGCTGACGTTCATGTCAAGAGCAACCCAAATTCGTTATTCTTTCTTACTGCATTGAAAGATAGCTTGCCGTTACCTTGGCACTATCAACGATAACACTATCAATTGATAACAGCCAAGTCATATCTCTGCCTTTCTAGTTGAAACAGGAGTGCCTAATTTCTTTGTCTACTTAACTTTGTACTATTATGTGTTGAAATTGTATCCAACGTATCACTTGTTCTGTTCTTTAATAGGCAATAAACCTCTTTGACACTACTCTATTTTATAAAACTTATCTAAAAAAAAAGAAAAAAAAACAACAACAACAACAACAAAACACACACAAACCAGTCCCGTAACCAAACAGCACTGCATTTCTAAAACAAACAAAACACTGGGACAAAAGTAACATAGACATTGCACTGTATATAGCTATAAAGCCAATAAAACACTTTCAAAGGGTCATAATACAGACGTAACATAGTTTAATAGGTTGGATTGGAATCGTGATTTTGATAGTGTATACTGAATACTGATACTGTACTATTCAAGTAAAATCTGTATACTGTACTTACTTATTACGATAAGGGGGTTCCCTGTAACATCCCTTTTTCACCCGTCATACTAAACCGATTTTTACGATTGAGGTGTCATTCTTATGCTCATCATAGGTGCAAACAAAAGTCTTGTAGTCGTAAGAATTTTCCGTAAAACATGGGATTTTTCCTATGACGAGAAACCTAAAATGACGAGAAAAAGATTTAGCTTCAAATCGATAAAATACTTAAACAATGTTGACGTATTAGAATATAATTAACAACAGTCATTCATCGATTTTTTTTCCAAACATCATTCAGTTTGTAAAATGTGACTTTTTAAGTTTCATATTGCAGTTTGTAGTTATTGTAGTTTGAGTGGTCGATTCTGCCACGATGTGATGTCTACTTGTACGGCTGTGATCACGTGGGCTCAAGAATGACCTTGTGCCCACCTCAAGGTCATGAGTCATCATCAGCTGTTTTGCTGTTTATCAGCTGATATTTCTTGTTAGACAGGGAAGCACAGCAAACATTATTCTGTGTTCACTGGTGAAGTGAATTAATTCTTTGCTTCGAGTTATATTTATTCTTATTGGAATAGATACAGTAGAATCATTGGGATAGATTTTCGTTTCTGTTTTATACATAAACAAATCATGCTTCAGAGTTTTGCAAAGGATGAAAAAGTGGGGTAGCGGATTTTTATCCCCCTGGAATTTTACCCCCTAGGCAAACGTGACGTCACAAACCAGGGGGTAAAATTCCGGCCGCGAACTTTTGAGTTTCGCGACATCAGCTCGATGGATTAAACGCGGAATTAAACATATATTTTCACGGTTGTGAATTTAATCAGAACACATCAAATTATAAAAACCTAGAGTGTACGGCCCGAATTTTTACCCCCCAGAATTTTACCCCCGGAATTTTACCCCCCGGATTTTTACCCCTGGAATTATACCCCCAGAATCTTACCCCCTGGCTAGATATAAAAATTAGTGAGAATGATTAATTATCTTCATTCTGTTTTAATTTAATAGTAAACATTTTATTATTAAGTAGCCTATCTTATTTGTGACATTAACTAATCGAACATGTTTTTAATTTTAATTTTGAGATTCAAGTACTGTATTAGGATTTGATATTTGAAACCAACTTTTGGTTAATATGACGTATATACAATCAACTGAATGAGATTACAAAAAAATAAATAAAGATAGGCCACTAAATAATGAAATGTTTACAATTAATTAAAAACAGAAATAAGAAAACCAATCATTCAATTTCTAAAATCGGCCAGGGGGTAAAATTCCGGGGGGTAAAAATCCGGGGGTAAAATTCCGGGGGTAAAATTTCGGGGGTAAAAATCCGGCCCGTACATTTCAGTTGTCTAAACACTAGTTATATGGACAGGGGGTAAAATTCCGGTTTTTATTGCTAATTGAATTAATCACGCTCTGACTATTTTCATTAGACTTCGAAATCCGCGGGGGTAAAATTCCGGCCGCGAACAAACTTTTGGCCACTCAGGTTACTACGTCTTTGCCCAGGGGGTAAAATTCCAGGGGGATAAAATTCCGGCGACCCGAAAAAGTTTGATGTATTCAAAGCTGATTCCTTACCAATAAAAAGTTTTGATCCAACACCATTTAGGCTAATAAAAAAAAATAGACAATGTAAAATTTGAAATACCAGTATTTAAAATCTGTAGTCTGCAGGCTGTACACTACCCCTTTATCTGATTAAACTAAACATTCAGCAGTTTGTTAAAATTTATTCCCTTTATCTGATTAAACGAAACATTCAGCAGTTTGTTAAAATGTATTTAACACAGTGACTGGAGGCCTACAATTTTGTTACGAAGACAGGTCTAAATAATTTCTCTATTTGCAAGACAAAGATAATTTATGGCATAACTTAACATCATATTACACACACTGTCATTTTCTGAGATACAAAGAGTTTAAGAGCACAGAATTTAAAATATGAATTTCATTTTAAATAGAATCATACTACAGTAAGATAAACAGACTAACAGACTTAATTTAGTACATAATTTCCAAAGTGACCCCCCCCACCCAAAAGTGTATATATATATGTTGGAATGTTGCCTATCACAACAACAACAAGCAACCCTGCTTGCTTATTGAATTTCCATTTTTTTTCTACTGCAATATTCCCTTAAAACTGTTAGATTTATTTTCTATTTAATCTAGAGGACCCATGCTGCTCCGCTGCGTTAAACTAAAAATATAATATCCAAGAACTAATCAAATTTATGAGTTTTGAAGAGTAATACAGTATCTTGATACTGATTCAAACGATCAATAGCTCAATTTAAAGCCTATAAATACAGTACTGATTATTTTGAGTCTAAAACATACATGAACAATACTGAAGCCATTGATTTTTAGTCATAGCCCTTACGAAAAAATGTTTATGTTAGTTTTTCTCCTTGCGTTTGCTTGAAACTCGTCCGATTTGAATAACTAATACAGTAGCTTAAATGAATGCAGGTATTTCACTGAAGTTCCTTAGAACAAAATAACTGGTAAAACACATCTTAAATTGAAGTAAGAATTTGAAAATGAATCAAATTAGTTTTTGTTTATACACAGAGAAGGATATAAGGTGTGTTTATTCATTGAAATGTTGATAGTTTAGTATGACATCAAAACTGCCAAATTCGGTTAAAATATATCCATAAAGAAGCAAACTACAACGGTTAATTTATTCTCCATAAGAATAACATAGGAATTTGTAATTACACTTTTGTGGATTTTTCCATTTAACCCTTAGCCATGTACAACGCTTCAATTTACTAAATAATTTGTTTACGGTACTAAGAAATTGCAAAATTGTGTTTTTTTGAAGGTCAACAATTGGAAAAACCCCTAAGCAATATATTTTCTCTTTGTCCATCAGCAATCATCATTCAGAAAGACACCCACTTTTCCAAGACCAAATAGTATGTTTTCCAAGACCAAAGTCTCTTTCACTTCAAAACTGACTCGCTCTGGTACCTTCCTCATTCACAGATGACTTATCTTTCGTCCAACTTTCCCCATTTTTGAAACTTCACACTTTTACACGAGGAAGTGTTTTGACCGTGCACGCAAGGCGAGTTACACAATTCACACTTTACGTTTCACACTTGGTGCACACTCGGGGAAGTGAGAAGTGTGGACAGCGGAAAGTGTATTAGTGACCAGTGACCAGTCGCTACTTTCTACCAGACCAACTTGACCTGTACTTAGTAATTACCTGATATGAAACTGGTTCCATTTCTTCTACTTTCAATCTAATTTCGGAGCACATTTGATTGCTGTGATATGGCTAAATTTGCACACTGTTGATTTATAGGTTTTAGACTAGTTGGGTTTGGATAAGTTTTACACCTGTGTTCAGGTTTATAACAATATTAAATCTACAGTAGATAAATTACTCTTGGTTTCGTTATCCATAAATAAATGTAAATACTGTATTGTTTTATGCTCTTTGTTTTAGTATATTTGTTTTAAGTTGTAGATGACTAAGCAAATATGCAAAGAAAGGAATTGTATTAGAAAACTAGCGTTAGACAAAAACTGATGATATCAATATGGCAATAATTAAATTTTAGAAAATGTATAGTTTCTTAAGTAATATTACTCTAATTTAAATAAAACTAAGATCTAAATTTAGAAAATTGAGTGTAGGCCTAAGTTAATTTCATCTTCAAGTTAAAAATTACAAATAAATATGATTGAAAATTTAACTCATCTATATGCTAAGATAAAGATTTTTATCTACATATTAAGGAACTGCCATGGCCAATTTTATTCCAATATATCATATCACGTTTGACTAAAAAGCCAGCATATTCTACAAAAATTTGTAATTTACTTAAGCATTCTCTGTCAATTAGTCAACAGCTCAAATTAAAATTGCCGACAAATTAATATGAAAATTGTATTATTTAGCTCCTACCTTTGCCTATTGACACAACTAGACATCCCATTCCCATGTTTAAGTTGTCGTCATGTTTTAATGAAAATCGTCATAGTTGATGTGAGCCACCAACAGATTGTGCTGATGTAAATTACTGATTTCTATCATATACACAAACCATTTTACCAATTTAAACTTATGGAATGACTTATTGTGTGCTATAGCAACTGTTATGACCCATCAACTTAGTCAGCAACAAAGTGTATGGTAGAAGATAGAATTTTAGACATTAGCGCATTCTGTGACTGGCTCATACAACTATGTTCTTTTTCATAACAAATTTGCAGCAGCTCATCCATGTAGATGGAATGTCTACTTCAGTATCCAATATTCAATGCTATTACTCTCCATTTGTTACGATAATGTGAATTATGCATTTTTTACTAGAAAATTGCTATGAATGGTTAATAATGATTGTGATTTGTCAACAGAGATGGAGCAGCAGCGAGTGTGGGTGCCGGACACGGACGAGGGGTTCGTCCTCGGTCGTATCGTAGACATCGGCCTGGACGAGGTGACTGTTCAGCCGAACGACCCCAAGAAGCCGAAGCAAACCTGCAGCCTAGACAGACTGTACACGGCTGAGGAACACGACAATAAGGATGTCGATGATAACTGTATGTTGATGTCAAATTATGATCACTGTAATATCAATAGGTGCAAAAAATTAGCTTGATTAGGATCAGGGTTACGGTGAAAATAATGGGATGAAGTGTTTACAAAATGTACAATAACCTGAGAAAATTACCTATTATATTTTTTGTCATACTGCAGCAAAACAGCCGTTTTTAATACATGTGTTGAGGGTCCAAAGTAGCTCTTTTACTCCCTCGGGAGTAAAAGTCAGCTGTTGTAAACTTTGGTTGTAAGCAGTCACATTTATGAAAATTATGTACAGTATCGTTTTAATTGGTTGTAGCTTATTGCTGCAACCAGCTTTATGCATTTTTGTTAACAGTTTGACATATCGATGGTATAATGTACACTACTATATAGCCCAATCGTAATAGCCGTAATGATTGAATCTCTTGCTAAACAGTTGCTTAGTGCTTGCATCAGCTAAATTGAAAACCAGAATTTTTAGAAGTTATCTTTACATTAAAAGTTGTGTCTAAATAAGTTTGCTTAAAAAACGGTGCAACATGACAAAAAAATTAGTTCATCACATGTCTTCTCAACCCTCGCTCAGTTTCCAACCTCGGCTTCGCCTCAATAGTAAAACATGAACTAAGGTGGAAAATCACTTTACGCCCTAGTGATGAAATATATTATTTTTGTAGATCCTACTCAAAACAAAATAAAAGAAAATACTGTATAAATTGTTTGTTACTTTTGAATCATATTTGGACCTCTCTGACAACTTTTGTAATCTTGGCGAGATCAAGCCAATGTAATATTATGAATAAATATATTTGAATTTCCAATTTAGATATCAGTAATTATAACTATGTAACATTTTGTTCTAGGCGCTCTTATGTACCTGAATGAAGCAACCCTTTTAAACAATGTTAGAATTCGATATGCTAAGGATAAAATCTATGTAAGTATTAATTTATATCTTTACATAATTCAAAGATTTCTATAGCTTAAATATTGGCAGTATATGGCGACATCAAGTAAATAATAAATATACGGTATCAACAATCTGACACATACTTATACTTTCTCCCATTAGCCTTTCAACAACCTTTATAATGGGCGATGAGAGTAACTAACTATGCATAAAATTTTGAACTGTAATTTTTACAGGAATGGGGGGGGGGGGTTGCACTATTTTGTTTAGAATTATAAGGACCATAGCAGAAGAATTAATTGCAATCAGAATCAGTTGTTTCCCCAAAAATCCATTTTACCGTTTTCATGGGTTTTTATAGGAAAATAACATAATTTACAGTAACTTTCGAATCGTGATTTTTACAGCAACGTGGGGTTGCACAGTGTTGTTAAGAATTATAAGGATTTTCGCATACTAATTTCAATCAAAACTGGCTTTTTTCGAAAATAAGATTTTCTCATATTTTATGGGTTTTATAGGAAAATAACATAAATTTCAATAAATTTTTAACTGTAATTTTTACAGAAATGGGAGGCATACAATGTTGTTCAGAATTTAAAGGGCTACAACATACCTACTAAATTATTATCAAAATAGTTTTATCAATTTTTCAGAAAATCCAATTTTTTCATTATTTTATGAGAAAATCAACATTAAGAATTAAAATTTTAAAAAATGAAAAAAATTCCTGGAGATACCATGGATTAGTATTTACATACCAAATTTCATTAAAATCGGACCACAGGTGGTCAAACAGGGGGTCCCAAAGCGGATACATACTATCAAAACTAAAAAAACTCAAAAATATTGTCAAAAATAATACTTTTTCCATATACTATGGTACAGGTGGAGAAAGTAATAAATATCATAAAACCTAGTACCTATCCAAAAAATGATTTTTGTTACTTGATTGTGATGAAATGAGTATGAACCTTATTAGGCAATTTTAATCCAATCCTATACTAGTGTTGGATTATAACTTATATAGGCCTACCCTATATAAATTGAAATTTCAGCTTGTGTGTGCGTGTTTAAGCACAGAAAACATACTAGTGTGTTTTCTGTGGTGTAAGTGTGCATTAATCAAAATCATAAATGATGAGATTAGTTTTTGTTCAATGAATGTAAAAACTGGAGTAATGAAATTTGAGATAAAAGACAGAACTTTCTCAAAAATCAGTAAAACAAAAAGTGACGAGGTACCTTTAATGGACAATTTAAAAAATACTGAAACAATGCCAGAAAGGTTCAAACACTTAAGTTTAATTCTGAAGTATTTTCTTAACTTAAATTTGATTCTTAGACTTACTAATTTGAGTTAATTTTAGTGATTTATTTTTCAGACATATGTTGCCAATATACTGATAGCAGTCAACCCATACTTTGAGATAAAGGACTTATACTCTTCAACTACAATCAAACGCTATCAAGGGAAATCCCTGGGTGTGATGCCTCCACACGTTTTTGCAATTGGTGAGACATTTTATGTAAATTTTAATATTTAAAACGTCTTCTAAACTAAAAAAGTGAAAAATTCTATGCTACCATTGCAATAGTATTCTGGCCCAGCCCCAATTGCCTTCTGTGACTGGTTGTGAAAAAGATTTAGTGTCCGCTAATGTCTGCTTTTGAAACATTTCTCAGCTGATGAATTTGATGAGGTTTTGTAAACTCTGTTTTGATCCAATGTAGAGTAACTCAAGTATATCTTTATGTTTGTTATAGAAAGAAACAGTACCAGAGTCCCTATTAACTAGTCACCACTGGAGTATAACTATTTTTATTTATCCTAGGTGACAAAATATTAAAAATAAATTACTTCTGACGCAGAAACTGTCTAAGAAATCATTTAACGTACCAGGCGGCAGTGTGTTCAGGTTGATGACTTGAGATCAGACTGGGAGATAGTTACATGTGGTGTGCCTCAAGGGTCAATCCTTGGGCCTTTACTTTTTGTACTGTACATCAATGACATTGGCACAACTCTCACTCACTGTAAATACCACATGTACGCTGACGACCTACAAATTTACTCTCACTTCAACGCCGATGACATTAACCATTGTGTTTCAAACATTAACGAAGACATTGGACGAATCATTGAATGGACCGATAAACATGGACTTAAAATCAATCATGACAAAACCAAACCCATCATAATCTGCCATCAACGACAGCAAGGCTCAATTGACTTTCATGCTACAAATCCAATCACTGTTAACGGTACTGAACTACCATATTGTGACAAAGTGAAAAACTTGGGACTGACTCTCAACACTACACTCACTTGGGGAGATGCAGTGATTGACATTCGTAAAAAGGTGTTCTCATCAATACATTCATTAAAGAGATTGCAAACTTTCTTGCCATTGCACATAAAGCTCCACCTTGTCAAATCACTCGTATTTACCCACTTCACTTACTGCAACTCTGTGATCAATGACATGACTGTAAGTCTTGCTGGTGTGCTGCAACGCTCGCAGAATTATTGCTTGCGATTTGCATTTGATTTAAGACGCTTTGAACACATTACACCTGTCTACATTGAATCAAAAATATTAAAGTTGAACGATCAGAGGCTACTTAAAATTACCATGTTAGCATTCTCAATTTTAAAAAATAGATTGCCAAAATATTTTGAAGGGGACTTTAGCTTTGTAGCCAAAGGTAGCTTGAGGAGTTCACGCACTGCATCTTTCACGTTACTTATACCTCATCATGGGAGTACAGCATATAACAGGGCCTTTGTTGTAACTGCCTGCCGTCTTTGGAACAACTTACCTTTATCCATCAAAATGCTTGATAGTCGTCCTCGGTTCGTGGCAGCACTGAAAAAAATGTACTTTGAGCGTATGGCCTCGGCTGGTGCGTCCTAGTACTGTTTTGGCACTTGCGTAATTGCTGACTGAGTGTGTGAGACTTTTTTGTTGTTGTTAGACATTTTTTTTTGCTTTGTCAAAAAAGTATTGTTTTTGTGTGAATAATGTGTTAAATTGTATTTTCTATTTTATATTTATAATTACGTATGCAGGTTAAGTGTAAGAAAGGGCCATGTGGCCCTAACTTTGCCTGTTGAAATAAAGGATTTTCATTTCATTTTAACGTAAGAATCAACCATGATGAAACTATTCCTATAGCAAAGTCACACAGTAATATTTTTTATCATACTGTAGCAAAAACAGTCGTTTTAAATATACAGGGTGTTTTTAGCGAATTTCCCATATAGGGAATAAGCTATTACCGTAGTACTCATGGTAAGACCTGGACGCGGGACCGATTTTTTTTTTCGTTTCGAGGTCCCTAGAGACCAAAAACACCATCCGTTCAAATTCATATATATATATATATATGTGTCCGTTAGCACGATAACTCGAGCAAAAATGATCCGATTTTGATGAAATTCGGTACAAACGTGTAAACCTACGTTTATTCGAACGAGTTCGCGATCCAGCATGATCGGACCATGGGAACGGGGGTTTATGGGGGCTTTTATGGGGTAAAAATAGGTTTTTCGCATTTTTGACCCAAAAAACATAAAATTTAGCAATTTCTTTCCAAACCATTTTGTAGAGCTTAAAAAAAACAAATAATTTAGTATATTGAAGCGTTATTATGCGCCTAATGGTTACGGAGAAAATTCTAAAAAATTGTAAATTTAAAATTCCCATGTTATTCTTATGGAGAATAAGTAAACTGTTGTAGTTTGCTTGTTTATGAACATATTTTGATCAAATTTGAAAAATGTTTTTATTTCTTACTAACTATTAACATAAAAAAAAAACAGTTTTACCTCCCTGATGCAGCAAACCTAAGTACTTGTTAAACTAATTCTATTTAAATCGGGAATAAATGTTATATTTTTAAGTAGACATTTCAGTGTAAATCAAATGGAAATTCGCTTAGTCTGCAGGTTTGCTGCGGCGGGGGTATTTTTAAGTGTGCCACCATTGGGATCTCAGTAAATAATGATTTTACAGCAAACTTTAAATGGGGGACATTCTCTTGTTTTTAAAGAGGTTAAAAAATAATGAAATAATACAATTTTTGTAAATGGCCGCCATTTTCCAATATGGCGGTCAACTTTGAAATTTCTTATGGAACACCCTATATTTTATCATGTTTTCGGATAGAACAGGCAATTTAAAAACTTTTTTATTCTTGACATTCTTTCGATAAACCCACTCGTTTAGGAGTTAAACTTACAGCCTATGGAAAAATGACTTCCGGTGTACATTTTACATCATGTAGGCCTAGCTCCTAAACAAGTAGGTTTATAGCGAAAATGCAAAGAGTAAATAAGTCAAATAAGTCTTAAAATTGCATCCACATTCCAAAAAGATCATAAAATTCGTTAAAAATATTAATTCTATTATTTCAAAAATGGCGGCCATTTTCCAAAATGGTGGCAAATTGAAAAGTGGAAAACTGTGTATTTTATGGTCTTAATGGAATGTGGATGCAATTTTAAGACTTATTAACTCTTTGCATTTTCGCTATAAACCTACTATATGCGTTATGGGTCTCTTTCAGCTGATAAGAGTTTTCGAGACATGAAGGTGTTGAAGCAGTCACAGTCTATCATAGTATCAGGAGAGTCAGGTGCAGGCAAGACAGAATCTACTAAGTATCTGCTGCGCTACTTGTGTGAGTTGTGGGGTCACACGGCGGGTCCTATAGAGCAGAAGATCCTGGACGGTAAGTCTAGTGTGCGTACTATAAAAAAGCAGAAATTAGCCTATTTAAACAAGAAATGCACTAGAAATTATGTTGTATTTTACCGTACCTTACTGATACACGGATTATTTAAATCATGTCATTCAAATGAATTAACTTAATCTGTTAACTCTACAAGCAGAAGTAACATTTATTTGTAACATTAAAGATTGATTTTCTAGTGCTGTAGCTAGTGCCACTTGGCCACAACAAGTGAAGGCCTGTCCCGCCCACATTTAAATCTATGACTCTAACTATTAGGCTAGTAACACACCCTATAGTTTTGTAATTTCTGTTACTTTGTTACATATGATTTATGGTTACACATCTTGCAGCTAATCCTGTGTTGGAGGCATTTGGCAATGCAAAGACAACGCGTAACAACAACTCGTCCAGGTTTGGCAAGTTCATGGAAGTTCACTTTGACTCAAAGTGCACAGTAGTTGGTGGCTACATCTCCCACTACCTGTTGGAGAAGTCCCGGATCTGTACGCAGAGCTCTGAGGAGCGTAACTACCACGTGTTCTATCTGCTGTGTGCAGGAGCACCCGACACTCTGCGTTCCAAACTGCAGCTCTCAAAGCCTGACGACTTCAATGTAAGTGATGTTCCAAAATATATGGTTACAGACATTAATAAAAACAAGGTTTTAGATGATATTGTTAGTGAAGGATTGGTTGTTTGCAGTGAGAAACTTACAATAAGGTCCAAAGGTGATGTATTTTAATCCATCCACAGAGAGGTAAGATATACAGGAAACATTTAATGGTTCATAAGTGGTATCTAGCACGTCTGGGGCAAAGTCTTACCCCGCCCCCTCACCCTACAATGCTCACGGTGGAGGAAAACCCTGTGCAATAGCAATTTCCGCATAGTGCTCAGCGCTCAGGCTCTTCCTTGCTTGTTCCAAGTATATTTCCTGCTCAACATACTAGAGCTGAAAGAAGCAAGTTTCTTCTGTACCTTACTCTCAATGGTTTATCGTAAATGTTTGTAACATATTTTTAGTCTTAACTACACATTTTTCTTATTTTATGAGGTTGGCAGCCTCTTAACATAGCATATGACCATCCACAAGAGCCACATTCATGTGTGCATAAGCATGTGGTAAAAGAGTTCAGTATACGAGAATTAATTTACTGATAATTATTAGTGGCCGCAAAGACTCAAAACAAAACCAAAACTTTGTTGCCTTGAATTCATAGTTTGTAGTGTTACTGACTTTGCACTGACACACCAAAGTAGATGATGAATTAGGTTATTGTTTACATTACAATGTCCTTTACCCAGATGTCATCGATTGTTGGACTATGAATGAAAAAAATTTATCCTGATTGAAGAAAAAGCTGATCTTAGTAAAAAGCTGTAATCATCGTCTCGCCTCGCACACAAATTGTTTTTCTCATATTTGGGTTCAATTACACGTGACTTAGATCGTGACTTAAATGATGAGTAAGCATTTAATATCAAAATTGATGTTTTTACGAACTATATCATAGACAAATAGGATAAATATAGACCGACAGCAGTGCTGCGGTTAGCATATGTTACCAGAGGTGCCCATCCCCCCCAAACCCAGAGGCGCAATCCCCCCCCCAAACCAAAGGAGTAGTCCCCCTCCAATTTATGCTGCCGTCTATTTAAACCTACCCTCCCCTCACCAATTTATCTGACAATTTTCCCTTTACCTCATAAAACAAGCATTTAAAGTATTTAGTCAACTTGAGGTACGAAAAACAAATTTGCTGATAATCAAAATTAAATGTTTAATATGATACGTCATTTAACAATACATCAATATAAATCTAACTAATGGACGAATTAGAAGTTTTTCAATTTACAATTCAGAATCTGTATTGTCAGCCAATATGTGTGCTCAGTATTGCAATAGACAACGTCTTCAAAACGTACAACAATATAGGCCTACTCGGTGAATTTCTCTACTCCAACACAGTACTGTAACTGTACAATATATTGTGGCGTTAATTTTTACAGGGCTTAAGAATTCAAACAGCTTTAAGTGCATTAATAATACTTTGGCAAAATGTATATTGTTTCAAAATTATAGGCAGAGTCACGAAATAAGACAGACTTGTTGCTCGCCACTCCCAGGCTGCCTTCTACAAAAATCGCCGGGCAAAATACCCACAGTATCTCTTAATAATTGCCACCTGTACAAAAGGTTTTTGTGACGAAGTAACCTTATAATTAATTTTGATCGCCCCAGGATTGCCTTCTATGACTAATAATGGTATAGAAATGCATCTTGTCAGACAATCCGTTTGTACACAAAACACGAAACGATAACAGATAGGCCTATCAATTCACGCGTGTATATATTGCCGCGGGCAGGACTGGAAATAAACTGAATCAGGTAATGACGGAAAGACGTGGTCTCTGGATTGGTGTTTGTGTTATCAAAAGCTGAAATTGGACTAATTCTAGTGACGGAGGAGAGTGTTTAAAATATAATGGGATTCATAATTGATTTTTCCATTCGAAATTATTGACAATAATAACCAATTTATATGCTGGATGGTCTCGACATTCTACATTACTGCAGAAAAGGAAATTTATGAAATACTTTGAGGAGTTTGAAATATACATAAAACTATTGACAGCAGAAAATTTGTTAGTGAAAATACTCAATTAATTATGAATCCCATTATATTTTCAATACTCTTCTCAGTCACTACAATAGTCCAATATCAGCTGTTGAAAACGCAGACGACAATCCAGAGACCACGTCGGTCCGTCATAACCTGAACCTGATTCACTTTACTTTACTTACTTCGACTTCTAGTCCTGCCGACGGCAATGTACGAATTGACAGGCCTAACTTATCTGTAATAGTTTCGTGTTTTGTATGAAATGTTTGTCGTATTCTAACGACACCTCCAGAAGTGGATCTCTTTTTAAATCCTGACGATGGTGGAGTTAAAGAACCACCAAAACATATGTAGCAAGTAAAATTCAACACTGGTATATTAAGGATTGTCTGGCAAGGTCCGTTTTTACCATTCTTAGAAGCTATCTTAATTACGAACGGCAAAATGTTGTTGGTGGTGATAGTGAGCTACTTAGAAACACTTTTTCGGGCTGCTTATACAAAATTATACATTCATTATGACAGCTAGCAAAAAATATCCCCCCCAAAAATCTCAAAATAAGCCCCCCCCCAAAAATTCCAGTACCCCCCCTCTGGGCACCCCTGTATGTTACGGCGTCCACCGCTGCAGCGGTGTGTGCCGTAACTACACGGCACTCCTAGTGGCACATCGGGTTTGTCTATGACTATAATTATGCTGTATAATGTTGATGTTTTCCTGTTTCAGTACTTGAAAAAAGGTTGCACACAGTACTTCACAAACAATACTACAGAAAAATCGCTGAACGTAAATCAAAAGAGTGAAATGCATCGCAAAAAAGGAAGCCTCAGAGATCCTATGCTGGATGACGTGACTGACTTTAAAAACATGGATGAAGTAAGCTATTTCGATCGACTTAGTGATTTGTTTGGTGTTAGTGGTGTGTGTAAAAAATTGTTTTTCCAATTTCCTTGCAATTATTGTTCCAGCAAAATACACGATAGCATAACTCTACAAGTTTTAAAGGCATGGTCAAAATATTACTGAGGAATTTTTATATTACCATCTAGATGGATTTATTTGACAACATTCTTCAAGAAAATACCTCACACATTATAATGATTAAAGTCAAACCAAAAAAGTAATGATTTAGAAAGACTTGTCCCATAGCCTCCTCTAATATAAGCCAGTATGTGTGTGGAAACGTCGTAACGGCATCATACTTTGAACCCCCGTGGGGCATAGCTCTATTTTATTTTCACAACTTTTATGTGTTTCTCAAGACTATCAAGTACCTCTCTGCGAAATGTCAGCTCAATCGGTCCAGTAGTTTTCACGTGATATGGAACTTCAGAGTTACACACAAACGTCCATACTTTCACATTTATAATATTAGTGGGATTAGTACAACAGCTGTTTCGGGACAGCGGTGTTGCCACTTTTGTCTCATTGTCACTATGGCTGTCCACTTCAGTCTCATAAAATTAACGTTCCAAGGTCCAATTCTTGCGGTTAAAAAAATTAGTAAACTAGAAAATCACCATTAAAAAGTATTGTAGACCCAAAGAACGGACCAAATCATGATTAAAATTTACCAGTGTAAAAATAAACCCACAATCTGCTTAAGATAACAAATCTTTGTCTCTTCAGGCTCTGAGTCGGCTTGGATTGTCCAGTGCAGAACGCTACGAGCTCTACTCAATGGTCGCTGCGGTGCTCCACCTCGGCAATATACAGTTTGAGGAGAACACGGAGGGCAGCAAGGGAGGGTCTGTGATCAGCGGGGGCTCGGAGGCTAGTCTGCGAGCTGCGGCGGGGCTAATGGGAGTTGACCCCGACGAGCTACAACAGTCCCTGGTCACCAAGGTTATGATGACTAACCGTGGCGGACTCAAGGGAACTGTTATACTGTGAGTGAATTAATGTGTTTTTTTTATTTAAATGTTACATGACGATAGGATCTAGCTCGGAACTGTTTTGCAAATTTTTAGACTCACCTAGAGGGTCGTGCCATTATCATATTTACAACTCTCTTGGTAATTAAAGGGATTTGAACCCAAGACTTCGGAAGCTGAAGTTTCAAACTCTTCTGGATCAGCTTGCTCATTATTTATATTTACTGTAGTAGAATGCACTGAAATAGTCTAATGAGATATAATGTTGACAGGTTCTAAAAACAATAACCTTTTCAGCCAGTTGTTACAATTTTTAAAATTGGACTATTTTGATGTTAGTTGTCATACTCTAAAAAGTCTGCTACACAAAGGCAGTCCCAGGGGGTGGGAGGTCAAGGGGGCCGTGCCCCCACCAAAATATTTTTTTTAGAAAAATTTATATATTAAAGGGAACTTAAAAATAAGTTTTATTTCAAACCTTTCTACCAAATTCGTTGTAGTCCACACACTTGTGGTGAACTGTAGGAATGAATACAAATACAAACCCAAACCCTCCGTATCCAGTATCCTCTGTTGTTAAAGCCACAAGTTAGTGAAACACAAGTCTCAATGATGCAAAAACTACACATTTTACATGTTTATAAAAAAAATTTCTGGAACCCTAAATAATAAACTGGAATGCTTGTACACCAAGCCAAATTATTTTATTTTATTATTGTATGTATCAAAATAGCTTAAAAATCTCTCATTTAAGCATATAATTTTCTAATCTATTTGTTGGAGGACCCCCGGACCCCCACAGAGTTTAGGTCAGGGACCACCCTTGCTGGTGTGTATCTTAGAGTACAGTTAGTGGAGACAATAGAGGTTGTCTTCACGGACCCACAAATTTGTAAAGTCATACCAAACAGAATTAGATTGCTGTTTTACGGTTCTTGATCCTCTACAGGTCAGATAAACTGAAGGTTGAATAACCAAACAGCTCAAAATCAATTATCTGCTGTAAAAGAAGATTGTAATCATTTAAAGAGAATACAATATCTAAAAGTGAAAAGATTTCAGAACTTGGACCTCTGAGGCCATGGTTTGGATCTAGTTCAGGGTTGAACTGTATTCTAATAATTTCCTTTTTATTCAGTGTCCCGCTGAAGGTGTATGAAGCTAACAACGCCAGAGATGCACTGGCCAAAGCCATCTACAGTCGTCTGTTTGATCATGTTGTACATCGGATCAACAAGAGCATTCCCTTCCAAGCCTCCAGCTACTACATCGGGGTTCTGGACATTGCTGGCTTTGGTATGTCTAAAAAAATAGAAAAAAATGTGGTTAAACTTGTCAAATTTACTTTAAACTCAATAAAGTTATAAAGTAATAAAGCATGCAACATTCGTAAAATCAAAGAACCGTATGAATGAAAGTCATTCGTTTGTTATTTTTATACTGTGAGCAACATTTAAATTGTTTACATTGCTTCTATTTAAGCATACTGTACAATGTATTATGTGAGTAAACATTCTCAAGTTTCAGAATTTAAATTTGGGACCACTTAAAAAGCTAGTTGAGTTAAGAATACTAATGAGGAAAAAGAGAAAATCGTCACTTTATATCTTAAAACTGTATACAACAATAATTTCATGTTCTTAAATGGATTGTGTTCTTTAATCAGACGTAGAAATTTTAAAAGTGAGGCGTAATTATTTTTATCAAGGTGAGTAAAATATACAGTAAACACAATTTTTATTTTACTCTTGAATTTTTTCAGAGTATTTTCAAGTCAACAGTTTTGAGCAGTTTTGCATAAACTACTGTAATGAGAAGCTGCAGCAGTTTTTCAATGAGAGAATCTTGAAGGATGAACAAGAACTGTACCAAAGAGAAGGGCTGTCAGTCAGAAAGATAGAGTTTGTAGACAATCAAGACTGTATTGGTAAGTGAAACTATTGCTTAAATACAGTAGAAACTCGATGATAAGACTCATGGGGATTATTAAATAAAACTGGTTATCAAGGTTGACTTTTCATCGAGGTTTGCAGTATAATGTGATTAGAAGTAATATAAATTCAAGGGGATTTGAAAATGACACTTGTTCTTGTTATTGAGGTCTTGTTATGGGAGGTTCCACTTTATAACTCTATAGATTTAAGGCTTTATATATTGACTTGGATAATAAATAAATTGGTATTTACTGGATTGTATTTCTTATACCATTTAAATTTGAAGTCATACATATCCTAACCTTAAAAATCAATAAACCAGTCTCTATTACTAAACAATTAATGTTTTCAACAGACCTGATAGAGTCCAAAGGCAACGGAATCTTCAGCCTGTTGGACGAGGAGTCCAAGTTGCCCCAGTGTAGCGCTGTACACTTTACCACGGAGGTACACCGGACCTGGCGTGAACACTTTCGTCTGGCGTTGCCTCGCAACTCTAGACTCAAGGCACACAGAGAGATACGAGACGACGAAGGGTTCCTAGTGCGCCACTTCGCTGGTGCAGTCTGCTACCAGACTGTGAGTATATTGTAGACTTACTCTGTGCAATAAAATTATATCTGTACTTTCATATAATTATCTGTTATTTATATAGTGATTCATTATGTACGAGGATTGTTCATAAATGAAGGTCTCTAATGAGCTCCTGTTCGCAATTAAGTGAGCCAGTTCATATCTAAAGCACTGTTATACTTCACCCCACTATTATATTCAGTTTGCACCCCTTAGCAATGTTTAGTTTTGTTGTCATTGCTGATAACGATGTGAGCAAAAACCAACTCCAAACTAGCATGAATCATGCACAATCCTTGTAAATGAGCGAATTTGCATCATATTGACGATTTGTCATAAGATTTAGACTTTTTAGACTGTAGCTAATGGCTAATGGTTTTTTTTTTTAACTAAGGTTTCATGGTTAGGTGAATATATGTTATTTAATCAATGTAGCTAGAAAAATCTTTGTTTTAAGCTTATTCGTTTCCACAATTAAGCTGACTATTTACTGGTATAAAAGTGGCTTATTTGCGTAACATGACTAATAGTCAAGCTACGTATTTACCATTGTTCTTTTGTGTGAGAAGAATGAATAAAAGGTGTTGTTAACTCTTTATGCAATATGTTGTTGTTGATCAATTTACTACAAATAGTTTACAGTAAGGAAATTTGAAAAAAATATTTTAGGCCACAGATGACTTACACCAAAGTTATCAAAGAATACTTTATAGAAGCATTAAAACATTCAACGTAAACTCAAGTATTTGCGTTTTATTTGAGGAGAAAGCTTTAGCTGAGTTTTCATTTTTTAAATGGTTTATCTGCAGTTATTTGAGGTTTTGCCCCAAACAAACTACAGTAAAGATATTCTAAGATGTAGCATCTAACGCTAGTTTTCCACACAGAACCAGTTTATAGAGAAAAACAACGACGCCCTACATGCTTCACTAGAAGGTCTGGTTCAAGAGAGCAAGAACCCCTTCCTTCAGAGTTTGTTTGCTGGAACCTCGGGCACTCTCAAGGGCAAACTGACCTTCATCAGCGTTGGGTCAAAGTTCAAAACTCAACTCGGCGAACTGATGGACAAGCTTAAGAGCACCGTAAGTGTCAGGAAATTGTTCTTTTTCCTACGGTATGTCTACAAGATTAAGTGTATATCTCAATTCAATTGTGATTTATATAGCTCCAAAGTTTTATTTTCAAAGATTAAAACTTTGTTATTGAAATCATATTGATGATAAAAAAAATAGTACAAAATCTATAATATTAAAACGAAACAGTGTTTTTTTATTTCACGATTCTGAATCAACCACTCGACGGATTTTCATGATATTTGTGTTGAAAGAAAGATAATTTTGAGAACTAGGGAATGTCGAAGCCATAAATTTAGTTTAGAGTCCCAGTTTTTTAGAAATTAAGTTTTAATTTTTAAAAATTCTAGCAGCCGACGCTAAGATTCTAAACTAGCTTTTGGCATAAAATAATTTGTTTAACATAACAGCTGTAAACATTCAGCTTTTGTGTCACAAATTCAGCATTTGGATAAAAGTGTAAAGACATACTTTGGGTTGACTTATTTATACTATGTATAATAGTAATCGATACGTTCAATTCTTCTGTAAGAGAATGACAGATTAATTAAATTATACATAGTAAAATACTAGGATGTTTAAATTATTTTTTAAAGCAATCTTTGTAATCTTCGATTTGTTTTAGAGCAATATAATTTGTTTTAATTAACAGCTGGTTAAATATAAACTATGGAACTATGAGGTTATTTTATTTACTCTTATTTTGTCATTGATTATAGGAAATATGTAAGATTAGTAGAGATAATTAGACCACAGTTAAAAATAGTTTAGACCAAAATTAATTAAACCACAGTAAAAATCGAGGCTCTGTACACGAGTCTTAATAAAAAGGATAAGGCAAATAATTTTACTGCTCCACTTTTCAAGGAAAGAATAGAAAAATAACAATGTTTACATGTTTTAATTCTTCATGGTAGCTTTTTGTTTACAATTAATGTTTGTCTGCTTTAACTTTGTTTGGATTCGGCCCGGAAATATTGATGTCATAAAAAGAAGATCAAGAATAATCAGGAATCACGATTTTAAATTACCACCACAACCTCAGCCGGGTTTTATACAAAGATAAACAGATGGATGACATAGATTGAACACAACGTCAACATTGACCTAGGATACAGCAATTAGACAAACCATCCTTTTATGAAATCGTGTTCAGTTGTGGTTACGTTTGGGGGTGCCTATATCAGCGGGGCGCGTGAAACGTGAAAATATCACTTTTATTTCAACCATGAATATATTGTAGTTTAACTAATATGTGAAATTACGATGTACATTTATTCAATGAGGGTGGGTAATTATCAAGGATAGAACTGATAAAGGTATGGATACCTAATAAACATTGACAATTACGTCATTAGCTTTAGCGTGTTTACTTTTTATATTCCTGCTACATGTGACCAGTTCTTTTTTTTTATGAATGTTATTTGAACCAAACAGCTGTTTCAAAACAAACTGTTATTGTTTTTACTTTTCTTTGTTTACACTTATCTATTTAGCAATTAATGCAGTGAAATTGATATAAAGGATAGGTGTGAAGATTAGTTTTGATGTTAGGACATTAAATTTAAATTATGTGTACTGTGAATTTTATCGTTTTATTTTAGGTCTTTTCTATTCGGACCTACTGGAAATTGTATACAGTAGTTGTATTGTGCTGATAATAATTATGGAAGAGGCAGGTATGCTATGGAAGGTGGTATCGTTGACTAGGTCTATACACTTCTCAATTGACTATTAATCTCTCTACTGTAGGCTACTTATAATGAGTGTGCGTCTGTGCGAATCGGCTGCAAATCTCACTTCAACGCTTTTCACAACGTAAAAATTGCATTGCAGAATTGCTGTTTTATTGTAAATTTATCGGATTTAAAATGCATATCGTATAGGCATATGATGGAATAAAAACATATTTGGTCACACAACATTTGTTTACAAGATGATTTTTCACATTAAAACTGCAAGAAACTTTGTCTATAATATGTGTAAACTAGCTGATCTGAATTGTACACGGTTTTAACTGACTACTGAATTCCCGTACGTAGGACCAGGACGGGCTAACACCTCGTATTTTTAATTAGCATTCATTAATTGTTTTTACAAAGAATGTGTTGTATATGTTTGCAAAAAGATACAATTAAGTTAAGTAAACAATTTTTTACATATTCTTTTTTTTCATACTCAAGTTTTTTTTCTTATTCACTTCACTAAGACAGCAACTTACTTGATGTACAATATATTTAAGCCTAAAGCGAATGAGTGTAAAATCTTTAACTGTGGATAATACTAGAAATTCAATTTCCATTTTTAAGATGTAGCTTTGGGATGTGATTCAATTGAGCCAGCAAAAGAGTGAGCAATTTCTATTTATCTTATGTCATAACCTCGTAAATGAAATCTAAATCTCAAGGCATTGGTGAATAAATCACTTTTCAATTACAAGTTTTTGTCGAGTTTGCCAACTTTTTAACCAAGCCAAACTGAAAGGTCACGCTTTTGGATCTTTTATGTTACATCAACAACTAACAAAGTAACAAAAACTATTGGAGAAAGAAAATATATCTCTTCTCCAACACACTCTGTGAGTAACTCACCCAACTAGACTACATTCTTTTTTAATAAAAAAAAATGCTTCAGCTGAACATGTGGGTGGTTACTTCAGTAACAAAAAATCAGTAAAATGGAAGGAGATGATCTGTGTACATTTGTTACTGACTAATCAGCTGGTTCTCTATGATCGTTTCCAGGGCACAAACTTCGTCAGGTGTATCAAGCCCAATCAGAAGATGGTAGATCACCACTTCGAGGGAGGCAGTATTCTCTCACAGCTGCAGTGCTCAGGGATGACAAGTGTACTGGAGCTGATGCAGCAAGGCTTCCCCTCCCGCACAGGCTTCTCTGATCTCTACGAGATGTACCGCAAGTTCCTGCCACCCGAGCTGGCTCGCCTTGACCCCCGACTGTTCTGCAAAGCCCTCTTCAGAGCTCTTGGCATGAACGAGAACGACTACAAGTTTGGTGTGTCCAAAGTGTTCTTCCGGCCGGGGAAGTTTGCAGAGTTTGACGCCATTATGCGCTCAGACCCCGAGAACCTGGCCAAGATGGTGGCCAAAGTGAAGAAGTGGCTGTTGCAGTCTCGATGGAAGAAGGCACAGTGGTGTGCGTTGTCTGTCATCAAGTGTAAGTATTTTGTCCTGAGTGTCTTAGTTGCTAAAACACAATTATCAGTTCTTGGACATTTTAGTTTATCTGTCAAAGCATACATTTGAGTCTAAACCTAAAGAACTTGCCTCCATATTCACAGTTCTATCTGTTTCAGTACGCAACAAAATCTTGTACAGAAGAAACTGTCACATTACGATCCAGAAAAATATGCGAATGCATTTGATGAAGAAGAAGCACAGACCTCGCTACAAGGGTATTGCAAAAATCAACAGTTTACAGGTAAAACGATACATAAATTGTATTATGTTTTATTGCATTTAGTTAAATAGAGACTGTATACAATTAAAAACAAAGATGTTGAATGGGAAATGTTCAAGTAATTTTTAAAAACCATTTTCTATGACACCACATAAATGAGTATTCTGGTTACAAATTCGGGCTAATTATAACTTTACATTTTTTTCCATCTAGATATAGAAATATAAAAAGGTGTCAATACTTTGTTAATTTATTACATTATGAAATATCTACAAATCTGTGGACTAATTTTTCTGTAAATTGTTTAAGTCTATGGTCGGGAGAATGGAGAATATTATTGGACAGCTAAAAAAAGACAAAGATGCAAGTGTCAATGAGGTTCGAGCTCTTCAGAATGATATGAAGAATGCCGTCAACAAAATTAAGGTAATGTTTTGTATTCACTTAACATTTATAGGACTACAATGAAACAAATTCATTGTTAACTGAGTTGACGCTATTGGTTAATTAAAAATAAAGGAGTTCAGATTGTAACATAACATGCAAGATTTGTGAGAAAACTTCCAAGACTCAAATGTTGGCGTGATTTCAAAACCCATATTGTTAAACAATTTTACCTAACCCGCCATGTTAAACTTCCCTATCCCAAGTGTGATGTATACAACTTTTTTACTTCTCGAGTGATGTTAAAAGTTGAAAAAACTCACTCGGTGAGGTAATGAAACCCATTTAAATAGCATTGAGTGCTTAACTTAAAAAATATACCTCTATGAAGCCAACGACATTCAACTGGTTCAACGCTAGAAATCAGCTGTGCGCTTGAATGTTATTGTTATGCTTGAAAGTATTTTCCTAACCTAGCTTTTGTTTGTTGAAGAACGTTACTGTTAGAAGATGAGTTATAGATAATGAAAAATATTGTACGTAACCCTCTGTATATTGTCGGGTCAGGTAAAATCTTGTACGTTACACGTTACGCAAGAGCGTGTTTACATCACTTAGGTGAATTAAACGCCTTTGTACACTTGTAATGTAAACAGCTATTATATATTTCAATTTTGTGCTAAAAAGGTTATTTAAAAAAAAAATTCCCAAATTCCTAATATTATTTCTAAAACATCCGACAAACTACAGCTTAAAACACTATTTGCCACTTAAAACTACGGTATTAGTCATAATAATTTGCTTTCTGCTTTCTGCTTCTTTTTTAGACTAATGAGAAGATAAAGCCGGAAGAAATAAATGCAATGTACACCCAGCTGATGAACAAAGCCAACAGTCAGATGGGAGGTCTGCAGAAGAAACTGGAGATGCAGAAGAGTGCCGAGGAACAAGAGAGGCTAAGGAAGATACAACAAGAGATGGAGAAGCAGAAGAAGCTAAAAGAGGACGAGGAAAAACAGAAGAGGGAGGAAGAGGATAACAAAAAGAAGTAGGTTTTGGTAGCACTACTGTGATAAGATCAATATGCTGGTTACTCTAGGTTTGTTTGTGGCCTCAGTAACTGCTTGACTATAAGAGTATTTTATTAAAGCCCAAGTCTTTCAGAAAGATAAATCTAAATTGTATTCTTAGTTTGATACTTTTTTCAAACAATGGCAGTTAATTTTGTAACAGGTATTATATAAAACTTTATACTATGAAAATACTGCATCACATTGAGCATCAAAAGTTAATGTGAAAATAAATGACTATGTTTGCCTGAGCTCTATCAAACATGCGTATCTCACTACAGTTGCAGTTTCAGGAATCTTGTTTGTACCTGTGCTTGTATCAAAGCTTGAATTTACTTAATAACTAGCAATATAATTTACCAAACAATCACTTTACACAGCAGCTACATATCTCCTCACTCAAAATTTGTCCAAATTTATGTAAAGCAATAAAAATCATTTTTTAGTGTTATTTATTATACTTTTTTAATTATTTCTTTCACAATAATTGACTGGTTTGCTCTCAAACATTTTCAGAAAATCAGAAATGGAAGCCAGGAGAAAGCAGGAAGAAGAAATCCGCAAAAGGCAAGAGTTGGAAGACCAAAGGACGGCTAAGGCTCTTCAGGTAGACTGGAATGAGTTAACATATTTTAAAAATCTCTCAAAATGAATTAAAGCAGACTTGATCTTTAGAGATTTTGGACTAGACAGAAGTAACTCTCAGTTTGTTTCCAATTATAGAATTTAAGTAGTATCCTTAATATTTTTGCAGTCCAAAATAAAATCTTTGAAAATGATGTGCTTTCAATAGTAAATTCTTTGAATGTTAATCTCATCTCTGCATTGTTATCCTTCAGTCGTTCAGTCATTAGCACGACAAGCTGTGAAACTACGTAAGCGACTTTGTAGGCTTGCATCCTGTTGCCGCTACATAAAAATAATTATCAGTTTAGCTCATTCTTGTACTGTATCGGCTCCCATTTCTTCTCTTGCTATGTTCCACGCAAAGGCCTTTGAAGCCCATGTGGCTAAAAAAATGCAAAGTTAAAAAAGGCTTTTATACACTTAATCTTTATTTACCTGTGTCTTATAATTCTTTGGTGGGTGAAGTATGTTTGTTGTGTAGGATCAGTTGGAGAAGGAGACCATGTTGAATAGCCAATTCCGAGAACAATTAGAGCAGGAACGACGCGATCACGAGTTGGCGTTAAGGCTTGCGCAGGAGACAAATGGACAAGTGGAGGATCTGTCTCCGCCAACCAGGAGGTAAGCCACTCGTTATATTACAAAACATTTAAAAAAATGGAACTAGGTATCCATGTTAAAGTTTTTAACAGTTTTAGAATGAAAATGAACATACTCAAAGAGCTGACAGTGCACTGAAACTGATTTGAATCAATATTTGAATATCAATTTCTGTAACATACACTTACTTTTTCAATGGGTACGTCACATTCTAAGATAAGATAGGAACATTAAATTGTGTAATTAATTGAAAATACCTCTATAATGCCATACATTCCGTCTAGTTTTCAATCCTGTTGAAGCATTAGAACCTTTTGCTCATGGACAGAACTGTAAGGCTAGGCGCACACGAGCAATTATTTTGAGGCGATTATTTCATCGGCCGATCTCTGCATCATGTATTAGAATGGAAGCGGGCACACAGGCGATTGAGAATTTTGCCGATTTTAAAATCTGGGTTTTGCTGCAGATTCGTAGGCGAGGCGATTGTCGCCCGGAAATCTGTAAGGTACAGGTTGTTATCAGTCCTCGCATACTGTCGACTAAAAAAATCGGCCAGTCGATTGTCGTTCTCCACAGGAGTCAGTCAACTTCAGTGTGAGTTGTGTTGGTTTCTTTGCTAAAAAAGGCCACAGCTGTTATAATACAAACTGAAACTTTCAACAGACGTTCTATAGTAATTAAAGAATATTTTACTGTCATCATGTAAAGTGTATAGTTTATAAAACTGTCGATTTAAAAGTCTCTGACTTACTATCGGATGAACCCAATATTTAAGTTGTCTTCTTTTTTTTCTTTGATGTAATTAGAAGAACACAAACACAGGTTAATTCAACAAAGTCCATTTTAGGATAGCTTAAACGCACAAAAAAAATCCACGTAGCCTAGACATAAATCAAGGGCGATTTATTTTTGGCCGAATTTTTAATCGGCCGATCGAAATATCAACCCTGTGTGCCAGGCTTAAACTCTATTCTTGTGTTGAAGCTTTAGCTAAAGTCAATGGTAATAACCATTTTGATTGACATTGATTTAAACACTGCTGTCAATTACTGATTTTTAAATGAGCAATTTTTTTTTCAAAACCATACTGAAGGGACAACTAATTGTAAACTATATCACATAAGTTCACTTCACAGTAAATAAAGCTTATAGAGGAAATTTAATACTGTAGCTTCCTCAGTAAATGGCTCGATCAACTATGTTTTGCGTTGGTGTCTTAGCCCATATAGATGGAATGTCTGCTTCAGTAACTTAAAATAAATGACAAAGTATAGTAGAGACATTGACTTGCCAACCAAATGAAAAAAAATGCAGAAGAAAATGTCTACTGTCAAGTCAAGTTAATAATTTTATGACAAACTGTTCACTGGATGACAAACTGTCAACGGTTTTTGTGATGTAATAACAAGTACCTTTCAAAAGATATTGTATTGCAAACCCTTATTCAATTTTTCCTCTGTACTTAAGTTACTGTGCTTTCACAAAACTGCAAATCTATGTAGTGGACTAGTCATTATTACCTTTTATTAAAAGGTATCATACCATTCGTACTAGAATGTTGTACAATCCTATTGCAATCTTTTTTAGTCAACAATCCACTTTAAACCTCCTATCTTATGTCCGCTTCTTTTTCACATTCCTCTTTGGTTTTTTGTTCTATTTCTCCTTCAACATTCACATTTTCTGTTATCAATATTTCCCATTCCACCATCCTCTTGGAATTTATCTATAAAATTACTGTAAATTTTGACAGCCATGTCACCATAGTGTTACTACCTTCTGTTATTGCTAGATTAGCTGGTGTTCAAATGGCCCCATCCCTCTCCAACAGTAGTCTAAACAGGTATCTTGCGATGGTAGATGAATTGTAGAGCTTGATGCCTTTTATAGATTTTGTAAAGTTGCAATATTGCAAGTGTGAAAAAAAACTTTTAAATCTTCTGCCTCTTGAAATTTGTTGCTGATTAGTTATATAAGTAACCTAGATAGTAAGATAAAATATCAGTATTGATTTAATTGAAGCGTGTTAAGAGTTTTAATAAGAGTGTGTCTTAACACAATGTTTAGCTTCTCCAAGCATGCTGTAACAATTAAAATGCCTTTTTTCATTCTAACTGATGTTTTGTATGTTTGCTATGCTATAGTTGTACATAATGCAAAAAAAAAAAAAAAAACACTGCTGACTCTTGTTTACCATACTATATTGTACACCTAAAGCACATTGATATGCTTATATTATGTAAAAGTACAGGAGCGAACTTATTTTGCAAGCTCTTAATCTTTTCAATTCGTCTTGTGTACTTTTAAAGAGATCCCAAACTCGAAAATCCTCCCTTTGAACTCTATTTATAAATTAAATCACAAGCTTTTCTTGCATGACCTAATATTTACTCCAACACTTATTTTGAGAATACTAGCCTAATAAAAAAAGTTATTCCATACAGAAAGCCCCCGAACTTTCTAAAGACCTTTTAAAGGCATCATTCCTGGACCAAAGACAAAAATTAATTGTGCAGTTAAGTTTTTAAAAACTGCCATTTTATTTTTCCACAAAGCTATTTTTTATTTTGTTAAAGGCTTTTGGCAGATAATTGAAATTTTCTACACACAGTAGTTGAACAACACAAAGACCTATTTAAAAAAAGTATTATTTTGATCTAATGATTATTTCAAAATTGCTACAATTTCAAACTTAAATAGCATACACTACATAGTTATTCAAAAGAAAACATTTATTACAAATCTAATATAATACCGGGAAGAAACTCATTTTTAAGCAACTGTGTACAACAATATTTTGCACTCATTGGGTAACTTACAATAATTAAAACAGCTGATTCATAATTTTTAATATTCATTCCCATAACATTATACAACTTACAAAAAAAAACAACAATAATTCATAATCTATATAGCATGAATTTTATTAGTTTGTTTAGGTATTGTTTTAATGCGATTAGTGCATGTGCTTTGGCATGATGCATATTTTTTAATTTGTAATACAAATAAAAAGCATATGACTATTGTATATGCTGCCCTCAAAGAATTTTTAATCTGTCCGAAATTAAAGACACTTTGTGTAACTCAAGGGCATTTTCAGTGGACAATATTTATGCTAAATAGTTAAAAATATGTTAATAATGAAGTGGTTAAAAAACAACAAAACTAATAGCAAAAAGATTCCTTTTCAAAATTATGATTATGATTACAATGTTTATTTCTAATTTAGCTATTGATTATTGTACTTTAACTTATTTTGATTACTTTTGAAATCATGATAAGCTATTTTTTATCAGATGAGATTTAGAATCAATGGTTTATGTCAAACTATAGAACCCCTCATATCTGACCTTGGAAAATCCAACTCCTCAGGATATCCGACCTGGTGTATGACCGTCTACTTGTTTCCTGTCTGGGGCGATGTTACCGCGGTCTTGGCAAATGATTACCACTGTCACAGAGACTGCAAGATATATTCGTGGGCGTAGCCGCAGTCTCGGGAGACAATTACCGCCGGATTCGCCGAGAATGCAAGACATGTTTGTGCCACTTGTGATTGTTGCTACGGTCGCGATGACGATTTCGCAGAGACCATAAATATGTTCACAGGTTTTGCCGTGGTCGCGGGAGACAATAACCGAGGTCACGGAGACCGCAGGCTATGCTCCTCCTGATATCCGACCTAGGCCCGGTCCCGTCGTGGTTGGATATGAAGGGTTCTACTGTAGTAAAAAAAATTGACAAATTCGTCCAAAGTTTAATGTGTATTTTTTCCAATCATTGATCTTTTTTATTTTTACTGCACAAATAACACACATCATCAATTCAAGTATTTTGTCACATTTAGGCCCACCAGTACTCTAAATATAAATTTAATTTAAAAGTACGAGTAAGTCACTTTTCTTCTTTGTTTTAAGTACATTTTCGGTGATAGAAAGTTTACATTATCTAAGATATCATCCATCACGTAATTTTTGTTGATTTTCACATTTATTCGTGATCTTTAAAACAGAGTAGTTTAATTGGGATTTATTTACCAAATTCTCATCTAATCAAATTTTTTTTTCAGGGCTGGTAAACAAGCTGTGACCAACAATAGCAAGTATGATCTCTCCAAGTGGAAATATTCAGAACTGCGGGACACGATCAACACATCCTGTGACATCGAATTGTTGGAGGTATTTGTCAGAGATCATTGGTTTGGATTTGTTCCAAAGACAAATTGCTATGTTAGATAAAAATGTATAACCATAGACTAAGCAACATAAGGGAGTATGTTTTATCTATGGTATAAATGTTCTACAATATTGAATGTTACACATTCAATCTTGTACAGGCATGCAGAGTAGAGTTCCACCGTAGACTGAAGGTGTATCATGCGTGGAAGGCTAAGAATCGCAGACGGACAACCATGGACGAGAACGAACGAGCTCCTCGCAGTGTCATGGATGCTGGTGAGATTCCGTAGTTGACTGTAGTTTCTGCAGTCAGATTTAAAATATGAATAGTAGTAGTATAGTAGTAGTAGTAACAGAAATAGCAATTGACCATTACAGGTATGGGGGTGAATAAACATTACAATAAACAATAAATTTCTGAAGGGAACCGGAGTTTTGCCAACGGGTGTCAGGTAGATGGGGGGGGGGGGATGCCTTCGGCCACCTCTTGGTGCGGAGATTTGCCAACGGTGGTGGTGGGAGAAAGAGTGTGACGGAGGGAGGGAGAGCGATTGTCAGGGTTGTCTACGCTTGGCAGTTATGCGCTTGTCGCAGTGGGTTAGGTCAGGTTAGGTTAGGTTAGGTTAGGTTAGGTTAGGTTAGGTTAAAAATTCAATACATTTCCTTTCACAGTCAGAGGTGCATAACTCCATTACTTTGAATACAGTCAGCATCCTGCCTGGTTTGTCCACCCCTAGCGGAAGCCACTCTCACGGTCACGTGTAATCGCTCTCGCTCAACCCACAACCGTTGGCAAAACTCCTACACTCATTTCTGAAAGTGTGGAGTACCTCTTCGCCCCCCCTTCACCCGCCCTTCACCCTAATCGACACCATTGTGATTGAAAATGAACTCATTAATTTTACTTCAGGACTGTTGGTTGTAGTAACAGAGCTTGTCATATCACTACTATTTATCATGTAAATCTTTAAAAGATATAAAACCTAAATATCTTAAAGAATGTAAATATTTTGCAACAATCAACTTTTCATGTGGGATTTTGATATAAATTGTTGTACAAAAACGCAGGTAAACTGTTTCTTACAAAAAATAAAAAAAAAACAAAGAGTATTATACACAGAAGAAACGATTATGAAATAACTAGCTGAGTACCCATCCTTCGTACGGGGTTGGCATCGAGTATAAAATGCTTATTGCAGTTATACTCAACTTTGCGTCTGGAATGGGGGAGGACACAGTTTGGTACAATTTTCTCTTTAAAATTACAGTATACTATAGTATTACACATCTACTATAGCCATAATGTTCTACCACTTATCCTAAACAATAGAGAAAAATCAATTTTTAAAAATTCACAAAATATCATAAATCATTTATGAAATTAAAACATAGACACAATTGACGTCCATGTCACTGGCCCGGCCATGACGGAATTAGTACATAAGAATTATGCTAATATTTAGTACCTATTTCGTACTATTTAGTACCAACAAACAAAAAATTAGTACCCCACTCGGTACCGGATAACTAATTAATTTAGGATTCCGGGCCAGTGACATGCTGGCCCGGCCATTTTCGAATTTGATCCTAATATGTATACCATCATTTATTACCTATTTCGTACTATTTTGTACCTCCATTAATATAATTTGTACCTCGAAGAAAACCAAGCTACGGGCCCGTTAACTGTACAGGTCAATGACCTCTCAGCCCGGCCATATCGTAACCTATGGTTATAAAATATACTACTATTTAGTACTTATTTCGTACTATTTTGTACCTCCATTAATATAATTTGTACCTCAAAGAAAACCAAGCTACGGGCCCGTTACCTGTACAGGTCAATGACCCCTGAGCCCGGCCATATCGGAACCTATGGTTATAAGCGATACTACTATTTAGTACTTATTTTGTACTATTTTGTACCTCCATTAATATAATTTGTACCTCGAAGAAAACCAAGCTACGGGCCCGCTAACTGTACAGGTCAATGACCTCTCAGCCCGGCCATATCGTAACCTATGGTTATAAAATATACTACTATTTAGTACTTATTTCGTACTATTTTGTACCTCCATTAATATAATTTGTACCTCGAAGAAAACCAAGCTACGGGCCCGTTACCTGTACAGGTCAATGACCCCTGAGCCCGGCCATATCGGAACCTATGGTTATAAGCTATACTACTATTTAGTACTTATTTTGTACTATTTTGTACCTCCATTAATATAATTTGTACTTCAAAGAAAACCAAGCTACGGGCCCGTGAACTGTACAGTTCAACGACCCCTCAGCCCGGCCATATCGTAACCTATGGTTATAAGCTATACTACTATTTAGTACCTATTTCGTACTATTTTGTACCCCCATTAAAATTATTTGTACCTCAAAGAAAACCAAGCTACGGGCCCGTTAACTGTACAGATCCATGGCCCCTCAGCCCGGCCATATCGGAACCTATGGTTATAAGCTTTACTACTATTTAGTACTTATTTCGTACTATTTTGTACCTCCATTAATATAATTTGTACTTCTAAAAAAACTACTAAAAAACTGAAAGACAAATAATTTTGAATTAATTAAGAAAAAAGAAAGAACAAATTAACAAAGTTGTGAACTTAATATTGAATGAAATAAAAAAATCACCACAGTACCCTCGCACCAAAATAGCCTAAACCTCGACACATTGATTACTTGGGTTGTAGGAGTAGTACATATATTGAGTACTAAATAATAGCATACCTTATAACTAGAAACTGTGACATGGCCGGGCTGAGGGGTAATTAACCACTAACAATAACATGATTACACATACAATATGTAACATAAGTAGTTTGTTTATCTTTGAGGTAATTTTTTTACCTCGAAAGGTACAAAAAAGTACGAACAAGGTACTAAATAGTAGCATAGCTTATAACTACAGGTTCCGATATGGCCGGGCTGAGGGGTCATTGACCTGTACAGTTAACAGGCCCGTAGCTTGGTTATCTTTGAAGTACAAATTATATTAATGGAGGTACAAAATAGTACGAAATAAGTACTAAATAGTAGTATAGCTTATAACCATAGGTTCCTATATGGCCGGGCTGAGGGGTCATTGACCTGTACAGTTAACGGGCCCGTAGCTTGGTTTTCTTTGAGGTACAAATTATATTAATGGAGGTACAAAATAGTACGAAATAAGTACTAAATAGTAGTATAGCTTATAACCATAGGTTCCGATATGGCCGGGCTGAGGGGTCATTGACCTGTACAGTTAACGGGCCCGTAGCTTGGTTTTCTTTGAGGTACAAATTATATTAATGGAGGTACAAAATAGTACGAAATAGGTACTAAATGATGGTATACATATTAGGATCAAATTCGAAAATGGCCGGGCCAGCATGTCACTGGCCCGGAATCCTAAATTAATTAGTTATCCGGCCATTGACCTGTACAGTTAACGGGCCCGTAGCTTGGTTTTCTTTGAGGTACAAATTATATTAATGGAGGTACAAAATAGTACGAAATAAGTACTAAATAGTAGTATAGCTTATAACCATAGGTTCCGATGTGGCCGGGCTGAGGGGTCATTGACCTGTACAGTTAACGGGCCCGTAGCTTGGTTTTCTTTGAGGTACAAATTATATTAATGGAGGTACAAAATAGTACAAAATAGGTACTAAATGATGGTATACATGTTAGGATCAAATTCGAAAATGGCCGGGCCAGCATGTCACTGGCCCGGAATCCTAAATTAATTAGTTATCCGGTACCGAGTGGGGTACTAATTTTTTGTTTGTTGGTACTAAATAGTACGAAATAGGTACTAAATATTGGCATAATTCTTATGTACTAATTCCGTCATGGCCGGGCCAGTGACATGGACGTACACAATTGTAAACAATCCTACTTTGACAGTTCTCATTGTGTATCACAGTTTTTTGTTGCTGCTTAGTTCAAATTACAGTACTCCCTCTTATCCGGACACCTTTTAACCGGACATCGGTTTAACCGAACTACACTCGGCGGAAATGACATCTCTTTAACCGGACAATTTTTATCAGCACATTGGTTTAACCGGACTAGATCGGCAGGAAGAGGGCAGTACTGAAACGACTGTTCTTGTGGGAAAGATTTGAGACCAGTGATCACATGTCTAAATACGATGCTCTCCTAAATTTAAGTCGAATATCACAGTAAACAGTCTGTTTTAACGAGTTTTTGGGGACGTCGGATTAACCGGAAAACCCCCCCGGAATTAACCAATGTTAATTCTAATGTTCTATATACCATTTTGTTATCCGGACTGGCCTCAGTCCCGAGGAGTCCGGATAAGAGGGAGTCTACTGTAGCTGTTTTCATAAATGGGAAAAAATAATAGTGCTGCACCCTGTTGGTAAATCTTATAATTTTTTAATGCTTTTGCATATCATAGAAACAACTTTTTTAGTTGAAACAGCTGACTAAATTCTTTAATTCTCATTAAATTTTAACCCTCCAAGTGTCCATAGTTTAGGCCTTAATGTCCACCTATTTTTGGCGCATTTGCAAGGTTTTATTAAAACGGATCTGAGAAGCTTAAAACAATGTTAATTCTAATGTTCTATATACCATTTTGTTTGGAAAATCATGGGCTTCAATATTATATATAAAACATAAGGAACATTTTTTCAAAAAAAAAATTTTTAGGTAAAAAAAATATAATTTCAAAAATTTTCAAAAAAAAAATAAGTTTGTGCTCAATGAAATTGTATAAATTATAGGCCTATAAATATTTGAAAATAGCCACTTTGTTCTAAATTTTATGAGGATTACAAATATATAATAATATAAGGAAGTAGATTTGCAAATAAATAAGTTATGGGCAAAAAACTGATTTCAGTACATAGCGTTTAGCTAAGAATGCATAGCCTAACCATAGCTAGGAATCTGGCTGATAATTTACATCAATATCACTACCTACTTCTTCAGGATCATCAACCAGCACTTCAAAACCACTTAAATCTTCTTATAATGCACCACGTATATCACTACTTTTGATTTTTAACACTAAAACAATGATAAACGTAATAAAACACATCAGTCATCGGTCCGGGGGAACCTAGCTGTTTACAAATACACGCACGTCAGCTGTCTGCTACAATATTTTCGGAACTAAAATGAATAGCGCTTAGAGACAGACCTCTGGAGAAAGCTTAGAATATTACGGAAAGAACGATACCTAACTCGATCCAGTTCAATCCGATTCAGTCAGTCATAGAGCCTTCGCCGTAAACGATGTCTGCGTGTCGAAAAATCGACAAGTAACACTACACAAAGTGTGCTGCTTGTCGAATTTTCGTCAAGTAACACTGGGAGGGTTAATACTCATAAGGTTAACATGGGGAACTACAGAATTTCCTTACTGATGTCAAAATTACGCAACTAAAGCACTACTTTTTTCAGCAGCAAAAACGCCTCGTATCCCCACAAAGTCGCCGATAACTACAAACAACTCTCAGCGGTATTTCCGCATCCCTTTCATACGGCCGACGGCTATGAACGGTGACATGTGTAATGACAACAATAACAACAAGCGTGGCTGGTGGTACGCTCACTTTGATGGCCAGTACGTCGCTAGACAGATGGAACTGCATCCGGACAAACCTGCAATATTACTGGTTGCTGGTAGGTCATATTTACTCCATTACTATAATCTACAATTATTACTATTACCTGTTAAGATGGGGATGAAAGTGAGGTATTTTAAACAGAAATATTACACAAAATGGTTTAAGTCATGTAAATAATTTATTTTCAGTTATGAGTCAATAGCAAGACAAATGAAGTAATTCTAAAGTTTTAGTTCATTTTCATTAATGTTTGTTCGAGTACACTATAGCCCTGCCTATCCAAAAAAAAACATTTTTGATGCATTTTTAATCACGATTAATTATCTAATCTGGTTCAAAGTATTTTGAAAGAAAATGTGATTATTTTTAAGTTAGCCTATTGGAAATATTGAAAGGAGGTTAAATTGAAGCCTGCCACACACTGGATCAAACTTTACACAGCATGGCAAATGGTTTGCTTAGTTTTTTATGTTCAGTTTTGTCATGTAGCCCTAAAAAAGCTTAAAAAACTTTTTGCTACCCAACATTTTACATTACAGTTTTGTGTGGAAGGGTAGGAGAGGGTTTTTTAAACGTTAGAAGTAATTTTGCAAAGGGAATTTTTAATGTTGTTTGGCTGGTAATCATTTTGGTTAGCAACCACTTATTTGCGTGTACTATCTTGTTCCCAGGTGTTGACGACATGCAGATGTGCGAGTTGAGTCTCGAAGAGACCGGACTAACGAGGAAGCGAGGAGCAGAGATATTGGAGCACGAGTTCGCTCGTGAGTGGGAGAGACATGGAGGCAAGCCATACACTCGCCCGGCCGAGCGCATTAAGTGATCGAGTGCCACAGTACACTCGATCCTACCAATCAACATTTAGATTTGTACGTTCACTACTGTAGAATTCACAGTAACTGTGTGTTTATAATATTTGTACCTTCGGAAAATATTCTATAATTTTGCTAAAAGTGAAATTGTTATTTTTATAGAGAAATATTCCATCCACAAACAATGCTAGAAACTCAGACTCGTTTGATTACAATCATTCCTGTAGCGGGACCAGATGAAAAAAGTATGCCGTGTTATCAAGTAAAGTATTTATTCCTGTTAGCGGTTTTACAAATCTATTTCTTGATTATATTTTATTGAAAACTGTGATGTAGATTGCCTTATAAGAGATAGGTTCTAAGCAGTATTAATAATGATTTATGCAATATTTGTTTTTACTCATGTTATCAAATGAAAATGGTATTTTGATAGAAACAGTATTTACGTTATTAGGATATTTCAAGTGTTAAACACGTTAAAAACACGTAAAATTGTGTATGTATTCGCTGAGCGATATATTTGAAATGAACTTTAAAGAAGAAAATATTTATAAATTTTAAAACACTATTGCAAATTTATAATACCTATTAATAGACTTTAAAGCATAAAATGCACAATCACACTTTAGTCTTTGTGCATGGAAGATTATGTGTTACAAAAGAGATTTAACTATAATTTCCAAGAAGAGGTTTTTAGTTTAATATTTTATGTAGATAATTGTTTGACGTAAAACTATTTTTTATTACTAAACATATTGAAACCAAAGTTTGTTTATTTTTTAAAGTAAGGTTAAAAACCATCTTTAAGATTGTGCTGATTTTCCTTATAATATATAATAGTAAATCATACTATTAGCAGATATAGTAGTATAAATAATATAGGTAATTATTTATTAATACGTTGTAAAATATTTTATTTATGTTAGCTTAAGTGTATGTTGTGGTTACTGAGAAAAATGGAACTCAACAAATCTGTGCAATAAGTTAAATATTGATTTTCTTTTTGTAGTTTGTTTCGCTGTACAAGTTTTGCATTTATTTGTTTCATTAAGTAGATGTTATTTTTCATTACTCTCTTTTTCAATCCATTCTAAACACACATTCCGCAAGCTCATTGTATGAATTGTTAATTGAAAAAATATATTTTTTGTGTTCAGTATTTTAAAAACTCTTTTATTGTATTCCTTTTGTACTGTCTATAATTATATTATTAGGCAAGCATGTTTCTTGAAATAGTTTTTTCTCAGTTTGTATGTGTCGGAGCGAAAATCTACGCATACTGAAATATATTTTCCTGTAATTGTGCAGAATCCCTTCATAAATTAAAATAGGCAAAAAAATAAGCACAAAAGACTAATTTAAAATTTAAAAACAATTATGGGCCTTACGGGTTGCCATACTGGTGACGGAATAACAATGCAAAATATAAACAGAAAATCAAAACAAATGGAATAAATTCCAATCAAATGTTTTATTTACAGCGTCCAATCAAATGTTTTATTTACAGCGTGGGGTGAAAGGTATGTTAATTACATATTTTGGGTCTAGTTAGTAGTTGATGACCTCTAGTCTTTATTGATACATATTTTTGTACTATAATAAAATGTATAGACATCAGAAACTAAAATAATCATATTTTTCTAATAGGCTGCTTTTTTTGCCCTTATAAACACTATTTGGTCAATTAAGTTTATGGTGTGGACCAAAATTAGATGCCATTAGTAACTTTGTTTCTGACTAAGAGTTTAGTTCTTTTTTAAGCCATGGCCATTATTAGAGTAGCAATGATCACAATGCAGTTGGGTCTGGATTTGAACCATCAGAGAGCGACTAATTTTAATTTGATTACAAATGGTTTTTATTCATAGCGGCACTTAAATTAATACTCCAATAATAATTATAGTTTTATGATATATTACAAGGTCATTCCTTCATTCTAAGAAGGCATAGCATATAGGAGGAAACCTTATAATAATATGATAGCGAAGAATATAATATAAGTTTAACACACATTTATTCAATTTATCTTTAAGTACCTTAAATATTACAATCACTATACATTTAAACCTGCACAAAAGATTGTTTTCATTCATTGAACTAATGAGCATATCTAACACCATTTACCAATGGAATAAAACAAAGAATGTAAAACCTATCAATTAATGTTCAGTTAACAACTCAATGATAAAAGAATCTGAAAGGTGAAAGAAAAAAGAAATCTTTTCAATCCAAACTTTCATCAGTTTACTAATATAAAAAAATTAATGCTTCATTCAAAAATTGAAACGGAACTCAATTAAAATTAGTTTTCTGGACACAAACTACTCTAAGAGTCCCCTAACCATTCACTATGCTGTTAAGAATTTACATTACTCATCTAAAATAGAGGAATTCATTCTCTTACACTCATCCTTTTTATGGTCAAATCAAAATCAGTAAATGTTCTAGTAAATGTTTTGCTCATGTTTCGGAGGGAGGTTTCATACAGGGAGGTTTCGCCCAACCACTGAATCCTTTCTCAAGTCGTTGAGCTACAGCGAGACACAAACGATCTTGGTCTGGTGCCCCAACCACCTATGGGGGAAACAGAGTGTTATGAGATGCATTCAATAGTCTATTACATAACAAGTTATTTAGCGTAATCCATAACCTAGATAAATCATTTCATAAAATAACCTAGGTAAACCTGAAGGAATAATTTCATAGCTGTTTAGCCAAAAGTCAACTTCAACAAGTTCTTGGTAAAATGTCAAAGGTGGGTCCGCTCATGCAGTATTCACCAACACCAAGCAGCTACTCGCTGAATAACGATAAGGGTGGATCGCAGTTTGTCTCCTCGCGATTTCCCAATTTGTGCACACCTTACTAGTTATAATCTCAATGAACCTACTGCTTGGAAAATGAAGAATGTGTGGGCACCTCTGCTCAGAAATAGGGAAATATAATTACATGTAGTTTGCCAATTATTGTAAAATATTCAGTGATGGGAAGATGCCATCCAAATATGTGCTCCTGCTTTAATGTCAAAATGGTGATTTTCTGTGAAAACCTTTGTCTTCACTAAACCTGAAACATATTAAATCATTCAACTTTGAAATCCTATCTCAGATAGGTTTGGTGAGTGATTTGTAGTTCAAGAGTTTTAGTCAGAAAGGACCATCAACGCTCCTGTTAGGTATGAACCACATTCCGGCTTTAGGTTTTTGAGAGATGGGAGTCAAACCGCAATTGAATTTTATTGCCAGTTGACATGTGTGTGTGTGTGCAGAAAAGTGTTTTGTTTTATATACACACTAAATAACTTAGATGAAAGTTAACACAATGGGTGCTGAGTGAGTTGCACTTTGAATCAGGAATTTCGCTGCTTCTTCTCATTCTTACCATTAAAATATCAGTTGAAGAATTGAGAACTAAACAAGAAATGAGTAATAAATGCCTGAATGCCAACAGGCAGACCTGTAGTGTAGAGCCCATGACTTGCACCTGAAATCTGGCATTTGGCCCCTTTCTATTTAATTCTCATCCTTACCTTTTGTGGGTATTAAAAACTGTTGAAGCAAGGCAATTAAAACATACCTGAATGCCAATAGGAAGACCGCTAGAGTTGAGCCCCATAGGTACATTGGTAGCCGGTAGGCCCAGGGCTGTGATGATGTCACAATATACGCTCTGCATCGGCCGTAGCATCCACTGGTGATGGTAGTGTGCAGACGACGGATGTGTTGGCATCACTAGGACACCCGTTTTACCCAGCTTCTCCTGTATAGAGATTAAATTAGTGTTTATTACTTCCAACAAATATTTATAGATTAATTACTGTATTTTATCGTTTTTTATCAAAACTAAATTGAACAGTGAACACTAATTTCCACTGACAAATGGAAAATAATATACTTAAAGAGAGCGAGATCAAATTATCAGTTACAAAACAGGAGGAAAAGGCATGCATGGGCAGGGGCATGTTAGTAAACTGAGTGTGTTTGAAGAGAGTTAATTATGATGAGCAGTGTGAGAAACATATTTCCTTGAGTATTTAAAATATTTCACTAGTGTGAACAAGAGTTGTTTCTCCTAAAACATTATTGGTATGTTTTCAACAAAAAATGTTAAAAAAATACTACATATTTAATTTATATAAAAGCTTTGGATTACATCAGATAATTCATTGAGCACCAAATTTTTATATTGATAATTTGTGGTAGGGTTTTCTCTATTTGGCACTTCAAATGGAAAGTTTTAACTGATCAACCATACAATGAAGGAGCTTTGTTAAGTTTTACGCATTGACCAAAATTCAGTAAAAAATTAGGGTGATTTAACTTCAATATGTTTAAAATTAGAAAATTAAGTAGCAGAATTGTCATGGGACTAATAGATTTTCAACTTTTATACACTTTTTGTATTCAATATCAAAACTTACAATCAACTTTTTCCTTAGAACCTCCTTATCTCTTATATACTCTGATACACTCTTCCTGGATAAAAGTCCTCCTGTGTATTTCATCAGACTATAGCCAAGCGCACCCAAAGAATATGTTGTCAGAATGGTAAACACTTTTACAATTTCCTTTGTAACGTTGAACTCCTGAAACATGACTAAGTTTTAATTTGAAAACCAGATCATATTATGAGCTCTGCAGTATATCTAATTTATTGATACCATTTAATAACTAACTAACAAGGCTACAAGATCGCACCACTCATCCTAAACTCATCTCCATTTATACTTGGCTTAAAAAACCTACTTTGTATGGTAGCAATTTCATTGAAAAAGTATTAAAACAAAGTATTAAAAGAATCTGTGAAAGTTCCACTGCTAATTTAGAGGGAATCTGACCTAGAAGTTCATATGTTTATACCGCACCAATCTCAGGGTCTTTCAAATACCTTTCATTCATGTCCTTCAAGTCCTTTTATCCAAAAACAAAAAAGGTTAGGCAAGGATAATATGTTTTAAACTGGAGAAAAACATTTTCCCTTCACTAAAATCAATTACATTAAATTATTGAAGAGTAAAAATATGCTGCATTGAAAAAAAAAATGTTTTTTTAGACAGACCTTTGCCTTAGGACATTTTCAACAATGAGTCTAAAATGTCCATGACCACAAAGGTACTCTAGTATGCATACCCCTAAATCTAGCAAAGCAAGACAGAGGAGTCATCGGTAGTTAACTTATTCTAGAGTTAAGAAAGGTGATTAAAGTCAGTGTAGTGAAACAGAGACCCAAACATTACATTGCTGCTATATTTCCTTGGTCTGTTGCATTTTTAACAGTACCTAGAGAATCAAGGCAAAATATAAAAGTCCCAAAAAGTATCATCTAAATAAATTTAAACAATTTAATTGTGCATGTTGAATGTTCAATTTTGTACAAAATATAAATAAAATCCAACCTTGTGATTTAAAGCTTCGTTCTCTTCAAATACATCTGGTAATGTTCTACCAAAGAGTACTGCTCGGCTAATCTCTATGGAGTTTGACATTTCGTCTAAAGATACCTGCAAAATAAAAATGACATTTGACATACACACTGTCTCATTTTCAAATTAGAAGTTTTATCCTAAAATAATATTTTGTTAATCACTGAGTTTATGTTATTTAGTTAATAAATGCTAATTTTTTAGTTTTGCGGCGGAGCGGACTGCCACAAATCGCTTCTCCGTTCTCCGCAGTCAGCTTCCACTCTTAAAAAAGTACAGTGCTACTAAAAACTTTTTTAGATTACATTTTTTAGTATTATCGATGATGATAAAAGCTTATAGATTTAGGTATATTAGTAAAATACTCCAACCTGGAACAAACCTTTTCAGCTTTGCAGCCATAATTTGCTTTTAGGTAGTCCACCGCTTTAGTAACGGCTTGTTTGATTGACTTGTCCACTATAGGAAGACCTATTGAATATTTAGCCTGTGTCATGTAGTAAACGTCAACATCTGAGATGGAAACCTATAAAAAACATGAAAATTATAATTACCGTACAAGACTTAGCATTGATTACTTAACTAATACTAATGTAAATACTATAAGACATTGGTCTATGAAGAAGGTAAGCAGCAATTCAAGCAAAAATGTGCGAGTGATTGGCAAAAATCGTCTCCCTTCTCCTTGTTAACGTTTATCCTCAATTATTGAAGAGTCGATTTCAACATTTTTGATGTTTAAATAATTCACCTAATGTTTACTTTGCACACATATTTCGTTAATTTACATCAGCGACTCTGTTGTGGCTCAGTTCAACTACTTCATGTTATTCTAAACAAAACCACTTTAACACAGGAATTGCAATGGAATATCTAGTTCTACCCAAGGGGTAAGTAGCCAGTCATCCTATGAATTAGCACTTACTGGTTCATTAAGTCTCAGTCTCTTTGCATTTCCTCCTCCAAGAATCCTCAGCATGAGCGGTAAGTCCTCAGCGTAGCGAGTCATAGGTCCCACTACGGCTTCTGAGTCACTCACCTCAGGAAAATGGCCTTCTACAGGAACTATACCTGAGAGAGTAGGACACACAGTACTTGAGAATGCAGAATGGACACAATGTAAGAATAAAATTAAGCAATCTGAGGAGACTGCATACACTTAAAGTGTGCAGCTCCCCAGAGAAGTAAGGTAGTGAAGAAACGTTTAATGGTACTCTTAAGTGGTGTCTAGCACTAGTCTATGGGCAAAGTCCAACACCACTCCCCTTGTCCTCATGCACTACAAGCAGTGGTTCTTGTACTACAATGCTCACGATGGAGGAAGACCCTCTATGACCTGTGCAATAATTGAGGATTAATTGAATAAATGGAATTTCAAGCAAGAGACTTTAAATATTATTTACAAGACCACCAACTATCACTAAATAAACTACTGTGTGACAATCCTATCAATGAGACTTAACAATTTTTGTACTAGCTTGAGAAGATTATCTTAAAATAAAATATGTACAGACCTGCAGGAGGTCTGTGTGCGAAGACACCGGCATACATGGCTGGACCACGGATTGAGCCTAGCCATTCCGAGCCAATCCCTACAACGGATCCTGCTCCACCTATCAGAGATGCCTGTGACAAAGATTACACTACAGTACAATATATACTTGTATATAATCTTAATGATTCAGCATTTATATTGATTTAATTCCCATTAGTTTTAAATTGTGTATATCAAAAATCAAAATACAAAAATTATTACCGATACTGGATTGAGTTAGCCTCTAAAAGACAGTTGACTGATGTTCATCCTGATTTCTGTTGGGTACAGGAACTTATACAGGCCGAATTAAAAGAATAACTTTATTGTAAGCTTTTGCTTATGTAACATAGGCCTATAGTACCAAAGTTAAACATGAAAATTAAATTTTGATGGTGGTGCACTCTTTTAGAGGCTCATTCTATGACTCATGTTCTATTTTAATAAAAAAATTGTCTACTTAAGTATCCAAGCGTCATTGATTGATCCTTCGATAGGAAAGTTTACCCTCAAACTGTCTAATGTCTACTTTCTGGTTTTGAACATCTACCTCTCCCCCAGCTGAGCTGCCTACGGTGCGGTGGTAGTTGTAAGGATTCTTGGTAACACCAGTGACCAAGTTGTGAGTTTCCGCAGAGACACACTGCTCCGGAGTGTTAGTAGTTACTAGGACGATGGCTCCGGCACGACGCAGCTCCGCCACAGCTGCTCCATCTGCCTCCGCCATCTGGCCGACCCTTCGCACACACCCCACTGCGTGATTCATTCCTGGTCAAAATATCACTGCCATGTTATTTTTAGGGTTTTAGCGGACATTTACCAAAACCGTTAGTAATAAAGGTTTATATATTTTGGTATCTGGAATCTGATCATATTTTCAGATGAGAAAGTACCTAAAACATAACAAGAAAAAAAATCCAAGCCGAAGCTGGAAAACTATAAAAGAAGAGAAAAAAAACGTAGACAACCTACGATACAGTAGTTAAACAAGTATAAAAAATCTTGAAAGAAAACCAAAATTAGTATAACAAGAGCGTTCTCAACCATAATGGGGACGTCTGCGCAAGATAGTGGCTCATGCGAGACAGAAACCTTACCATCACTGAGACCAAAAAGGAAATTCCAACAAAGGACATCATTTCAATTTATAGGATGGATGTCTCAGTTGTAACAATTTACCACAAAAACAACACAACATTTGATTTATAAATAGATCTAAACTAAAAGATTCAACAATCTTGTGTTATGTTCGTTTGGGATCCATACAACAGTGACACACCAATTGTTGAAGGTGAATTTGAATGTTCAATAAATGAGATGACAGCTTTGTTACTGACCAAGATCAGCCGGTTCTATAACCAGGACCATTGACTAAAAGCTCAATGATCAAGGATAGCTCTAGCTGGGCCCAGTTTAACCATCAAAAGCTTCTGGCTTTTCTCAGGATTGAATTGGAAACCTAATAAATTACTAGGCAAGCACTATGACTATATATATATATATTAATTTGAAACTGTTTTTCTTTGTGACAGCTATTTTGAGAGAACGGCTGAGCGTAGAAACTCGGTAGAGGTGTCTAAAGAAAGGTCCTGGTCTGTAGATGAGCCATCAAAAGAGAAACATGGAGAATTCCCTCGGGGCTCTGCCCCAGTGGCGTTAAATTCCCATCCCATGTTATTCTTATTGAGGAAAACGAGGTTTTTGTCACAGCTAATTTGAGAGAACGGCTGGGCGTAGAAACTTGGTAGGGGTGTCTAAAGAAAGGTATTGGTCTGTAGGTGAGCTTTCAAAAGAGAAACGATGTAAATTTCCTTGGGGCTCTGCCCCAGAGGCCTTTAAAGTTCACTCTGCAATTTTGTTTACATTTCGACCATATGGATAATTTTACACTACTTTTAATGAACCAGCTGTTAAAAATTGTATTCAAAGGTCTACTGAAACTGTCAAAATTAAATGTTTACATTATTATTTATGATTTTAAATGGATTCTCCACTGCATGGCAAGTTTTTTTTATAGTTTCGACAAAATGATGAATTTATGATACGTTTAAAATGTTTTGTTCAAAAATCTATGCTTTATTGCTCTTAGAAAATTTTAAATTATGAAATAAGTGTGACTTATCAATTTCAAAGGAACATATAACTATTCCTTATTGGGTTAGCTTATACATATCGTAAGGTTGGCACTTGCCTTTTTTTCCTACTTTCAATCACCATTTATTTTTAAATTCAAGAAAGAACACCTGAGATTCATTTATTGGTATAACAGTTTTTGATAATCGGGTTGAAAATTGTGTCATAGATGAGTACGTTGAGGATGAGAGCTGTGTTCAAGTTTTGGTATAGACTAACTACGGAGTCTATGGTTTTGGTAAAGTAGGTGAACTAATGTCAATTCAGGTATTTAAAAAAAAATGTGTACACAGTTTTTACTTTGATGTACACATGTAGCTAGGTTGAACAACGCATCTAAACCTCACTATACAAAACATTCGGAAACACAACAGTGTCATCACATCTCATCGCATTTGCATAATTTGTTACCAAGGCTGGACTAGGTTATGGATTTGGTTCCGCAAATGTTCAAGATTTGTGATAAAATTTCCTACAATTATGGTTCATTCCAATCCACGAAATACATGCACAGCTTTATGTGATCTATATGGCCAAGGCAAAACTACCCCATAAGTTAATGAATTATCAAGTAAGAACAGGATGATTAAATACATGGGTCGATGTGGCAAGAGAAGGATTTAAAATTGCTGAGATCGAAGTAAGAATGTTACTGCTTTCTGGAGAATCAGATATTTTTATAAAAAAAGATGAAGATTTACTTATAAATCCGGATACAATCTGAATGATTTTCCTAAAGCAGATGGAATTAGTGGTTAGTGATAAATATTGACTCTTTCCGTAACATGATAGACTAATTATATGAACTCATTCTCCCATATAGTGAAAGTGGCTTTGGTATGAAACAAACTCATGAACAAACAATTAAAAAACTCCTAAAAAACCTTTTGGGCAACCTAAAGCCGATAAAAAGAAAGGTAGGAAATATTGTGTTAAACGAATTCATCAATCACGTTTTTTAGGGAACACAATCGTCATACTTATTATTGCTTATCCTCCCTTCATATAACTAAGATTTTAATGACTTCACTCTATCCAACGCAGTTAGCTGAATTTACATAAAACCTCAAGATTAACCGTCGATTTCGACGGGGTTCAACTAGTATGTACTTAGTTCAACAATATAAAGTTTATATATTATCTACCTTTCACCCTAAAGCAGCCACTGATGGACACAGGGACCCCCAGCAAGGGAGTCTCCTCCTCTAGTTGCTCTACAGTTTTACTCCGAGAGGTGATCAGCTCATCAACTCTCTCAGCTTCCTTTAAAGCTTCTTCGTATCTCTCGTCTACGATTGCGTTCAACTTCATGTTGACCCTGCGGCTCCTGAATGAATAAACCTCCACCACCTCTTCGCAGGTTAGCTGTAAGACAGAATAAAAATATAAACGTTTTTATAAACAAATAAGTTATTGAATTTTAATTTGAGCATTTTTAAATGTAAATTAAGGGGTCAAGGGCATGGCATGTCCACGGTAGCACAGCTGAAGGTGCTCCAGCACCCCCTTAAATTCTCATAAAATTAAGTTTTTAACAATAACTTTTAGGCTTTTTTGACCTGCTCAAACTAGAAAATTCTATGGTGCTATGCCAAGACTAGAAGTATTATTTCTGAAATGCTGAAACTTTGAAGGGCTCTCCTGAAAAGTTGTGCTTGACCCTTTTGGAACCATACTGTTCTAAGGTCGCGAGTTTAAAGCCAATCCAAATACTTTGCAATTAAATGTCACCTGGGTATAAATCTTTTTTGTTCTATTTGATAACCGTAATTATTAACTCAACATTAAACTGGTTTTTCGGAAAAGTACCGGTACCGAGAGTCGTCGTTGAAATTTGGTTGTGGTAACAGGGTAGGCTTATCACAGGGTTATTATATGGTCCAGCGATAGCAGCGCAGTAGTGTTGAGTAAAAACCGAAAGTGACACATTGGAAAAGTGATTGTTATCATCAAAACTAAATCGCAAAGATCTTCCAATCACCCAGTGTATAGTTTAGATTATTTATTTTTTACTTCACAACAGCATTCGAAACGCTTTAACACTATTCGTGCTGTCGACATGTTTGAACATAAAAGTTGCATTTATTTCAATGTTAAGCAATTGCGGGAATTCCCGTCATCAGCACCCAACGTGTTAATGAGTGGAAACCTCGATTGTAGGTTTTTGGCACCGATGAATAAAAAATGTAAGTCTCATCGCAGTCCTAGTACAACACTGATTCACAGTCTTTTTCCCCGTTATCAAAATGAAGTACAACTTGATACACACAGAATCTCTGGTTCCCGACCTGGATGATGTCTATAGCTATTTAATTTAATTTACAGTTATATTGTACTTGCGATCAATCAAACCCGTTATGTAAGCTACACTGTTATTTATCTCACTTCGTTTTGGATTTGCTTACAAACGTGACCGGAAATGGTTACTCAGAATTTGTAAACAACATTTAATATAAACATATCAGTGACAGCTAAAAAAAAAGAATCTTTATCCAAACATATTTTTTCGTAATTTCATAGATGACGGATTCTCTTAACAGATGATTAGTATTTCATAAATGACAAATGTAGTAAACATAAGGAGAAAACTTTTTTTTTTAACTTTATTTAATTTACAATCTGTTCAAGTTGAACAATAAGCAAATGATATAAATAGTAATACAAAAATAACTTGAAGAACATGAGCTAGTGATTGACCACCGTCAACACGGAGAAAATTTGAAAAAAATCGCACAAAATTAGGTTTTTGATCGTCTGTTATTTTATTTCCAAAATAGTGAGGCCATATTTTAATGGCTAAAGACACTCTCGCCAATCCTGTGAATACAATTAAACTATTAGAACTATCGTGATCGGGACTCTAGTTAGGCCACTCTAGAGTAGGCCACGTAAATGCCTTACAGACCGTGACAGACGGACAGGAATAGAGATAAGACTTGTTATGGCGTTATAAATGTATAAAACGTAAAAATAAAAATAAAAATTATAATTCTGAGAAATGTTCAGACAAAACTCTACTTTTATTTATATAGATTTCTTTATTTTTACCCTAATGAATTTTACTGTGTTAGTAATATATGATTAATTGTCGAACGGTCAAGGTAAGGCACAAAGTCTTTCCCTTCGGTCTTACATTATCCTATGGTCCGTAATGAATCAAAATAAGAGATATTAAATGCTCAAATCACCTTAAAACCCACAATTTTGCTCTAAAATTTACAAAACGCCCTAAACCCCCCTTGCTGACCCGTGAATGTCAGCACCCACCAAAAGAAAATCCTGGCTACGCCCTTGTAAGGGGGGTTACCTCCCGCTATCTCCGCGTCCCGCCACCTCCGTGTCCCGCTATCTCCGGATTTCAGAGTGACCCCAATAATCCTTGGTTACTACCTGTGTTAAGACTTTCCGTCCTAACCTAACCTAACCTAACCTAACCTCACCTAACCTAACCTAACCTAACCCAACCCAACCTAACCTAACCTAACCCACGGGTTATTTTCATTAAATCTCCCATCCACGGGGCTTCGCAGCCGTGGACGCAATGACAGCTACCAACGCAGGCAGTGACGGGATTATAAGGGTCACTCAAGAATTCGGAGGTGGCGGGACAGATTTGGGTTCAGAGATGGCGGAACGCGGAGATAGCGGGAGCACACGGTAAGGGGTGCTGTTAATCATTATTAAAATTTCTAAATAATTATTTATATCTATTCAAAACTATTAAGATTCCAAAATGTTGGCATAGCATATACAATATTTACCTCTCCTGTTCGTATTTTCGTCGCCAGCTCAGTAGCACTCATTGTCAAGATCGGGTTCCTGATGGTTTGCAGAGGAATTGTTATCTTCATCATGGCCCACAACCAATATAGTGGTTCCAGAACGAAGCATAACAGATTCTGAACAACTGCTAACAGCCTTAGTATCACCTCCATGGTTGTAGATGAGATCCTGAAATAATAAAAACATTTAAGTATTTTAAACTACAGAATGTTGAAAGAGCCATTTTGATGCTGTGAGTATCAATGAACGCATGGGTATAGCTCATTGTTGTTCACATATTCATAGGGATTAAGTTTCCTGAGTAGTAAATTCAAAAGACATGTCGTATACCAAGGGGTTTTCTTGGAGACTACTCTTTTGTGAAAAAATGTGTAAATAATTTTGTATAATCTATATATTAATTTGAAACTGTTTTTCTTTGTGACAGCTATTTTGAGAGAACGGCTGGGCGTAGAAACTCGGTAGAGGTGTCTAAAGAAAGGTCCTGGTCTGTAGATGAGCCATCAAAAGAGAAACATGGAGAATTCCCTCGGGGCTCTGCCCCAGTGGCCTTTAAATTCCCATCCCATGTTATTCTTAAGGAGGAAAATGAGGTTTTTGTCACAGCTAATTTGAGAGAACGGCTGGACGTAGAAACTTGGTAGGGGTGTCTACCCATGTAGCACAGATGGTTGGGCCAACGTTGGTAAATTGTGGAGCCACACAGTTGGCCAACGGTAGAAATGTCACCTCTTTAAACTGTTTTCCAGCCAACCTTTGTCCAACAATGGCCCAACCAAAATTATTTCACACAAAATAATAAAGATTTAGTACGAAAAGCATAATTATTAGTTGAGTAAATTGATTAAATAGTTCATAAAAACAAATTTTGAAAAAAAGCTGGAACAAAATTTTTTGGCCCAGACGGGTCTCGAACCCGGGTCCTTCGACTTATGAGCCTCTTACCTTACCACTGAGCTATCTGTGATTGTTGATACAGAGAGTTTTCAAGTGGTGAAAGAGTAGCCGACAGTTGCAATGGTCGCAATACTTCAAACATTTTTGATACTACACAGTATAATATGAATCTGTTAATCTGTTAAGGCATCATAAGTAGTTATTTTTTTTTTTGGAGTTAGAGAGGATACTGGTATTTGAATATAGATTAATTAATTACCGTTAGATTATTAATGCTATTATAATTGACTGTTATATGATTAATTACTCTTTCCCCTTAAATTGTTGCAAATAAGTTAAAGAATAGTAATTTAAAAAATATTTGCATTATTATAATTATTAAAATTCATTGTTGTAGCCCCGGAACTGTAATATATAAAATATCTGGTTTTACAATACCTTTATCAGTTCCAAAAACTTTTGGAAACTTTTGGAACTGATAAAGGTATTGTAAAACCAGATATTTTATTATAATTATGTTGTGAAAGCTAGACCCAGAGAATGAAAGTCGTGTAAACTCAACTATGGACCATCGTTGGTCCAACAAAAGTATCTTTTGTTGGTCCAACGGAGTGAAAAACGGTTGGACAACGGTTGGCTTGATGTATGATACCCAACAATGCACATTAATGTATTTCATTAACAATGAACCGATGTTGGTCCACAGTTGTAAATATTGGTTGGCCCAACTACGAGATATACAGTTGGACAACGGTTGGTTGGTTGTGGAAGCTCCAACCAACCATCGACCAACTGTCCCACAGTTGGCCAACGTTGGCCCAACCATCTGTGCTACATGGGTAAAGAAAGGTATTGGTCTGTAGGTGAGCCCTCAAAAGAGAAACGATGTAAATTTCCTTGGGGCTCTGCCCCAGAGGCCTTTAAAGTTCAATCTGCAATTTTGTTTACATTTCGACCATATGGATAATTTTACACTACTTTTAATGAACCAGCTGTTAATTTTAAAATTGTATTCAAAGCTCTACTGAAACTGTCAAAATTAAATGTTTACATTATTATTAATGATTTTAAATGGATTCTCCACTGCATGGCAAGTTTTTTATAGTTTCAACAAAATGATGAATTTATGATACGTTTGAAATGTTTTGTTCAAAAATCTATGCTTTATTGCTCTTAGAAAATTTTAAATTATGAAATAAGTGTGACTTATCAATTTCAAAGGAACATATTTAACTATTCCTTATCGGGTTAGCTTATACATATTGTAAGGTTGGCACTTGCCTTTTTTTCCTACTTTCAATCACCATTTATTTTTAAATTCAAGAAAGAACACCTGAGACTCATTTATTGGTATAACAGTTTTTGATAATCGGGTTGAAAATTGTGTCATAGATGAGTACGTTGAGGATGAGAGCTGTGTTCAAGTTTTGGAATAGACTAACTACGGAGTCTATGGTTTTGGTAAAGTAGGTGAACTAATGTCAATTCAGGTATTTAAAAAAAATGTGTGCACAGTTTTTACTTTGATGTACACATGTAGCTAGGTTGAACAACGCATCTAAACCTCACTACAAAACATTCGGAAACACAACAGTGTCATCACATCTCATCGCATTTGCATAATTTGTTACCAATGCTGGACTAGGTTATGGATTTGGTTCCGCAAATGTTCAAGATTTGTGATAAAATTTCCTACAATTATGGTTCATTCCAATCCACGAAATACATGCACAGCTTTATGTGATCTATATGGCCAAGGCAAAACTACCAAGTTAATGAATTATCAAGTAAGAACAGGATGATTAAATACATGGGTCAATGTGGCAAGAGAAGGATTTAAAATTGCTGAGATCGAAGTAAGAATGTTACTGCTTTCTGGAGAATCAGATATTTTTATAAAAAAGATGAAGATTTACTTATAAATCCGGATACAATCTGAATGATTTTCCTAAAGCAGATGGAATTAGTGGTTAGTGATAAATATTGACTCTTTCCGTAACATGATAGACTAATTATATGAACTCATTCTCCCATATAGTGAAAGTGGCTTTGGTATGAAACAAACTCATGAACAAACAATTATAAGACTCCTAAAAAACCTTTTGGGCAACCTAAAGCCGATAAAAAGAAAGGTAGGAAATATTGTGTTAAACGAATTCATCAATCACGTTTTTTAGGGAACACAATCGTCATACTTATTATTGCAGATCCTCCCTTCATATAACTAAGATTTTAATGACTTCACTCTATCCAACGCAGTTAGCTGAATTTACATAAAACCTCAAGATTAACCGTCGATTTCGACGGGGTTCCACTAGTTAATGATTAATTACAATACACTGTTTTATCATTATTACTCATACAGTATACCATTGACTATTGGAAAAATTATACCATTGATAAAACATACTCCCTTGGTAGATTTCCCATCCTTATGGAAGAGCTGAAGCCAATTTTACTGTTAGTTCTGTCCGGTGTACTATAGAGTCGTGTTTTGTTTACAATTTGTTTCTTGCTGTTTCAATAATTTAAAACCTCGTTTAACCAAATAAAACTATCTAATCATAAACAATAACTTGTCCACTAGCTATATAACCAAACAGTGAGGCACAAATCATGTGAAACTAATCCTAAAATAATAGAAACAAATTGTAAACAAAACATGTCATCTACAGTAAACCGGACAGAACTAACAATAAAATTAGCTCCAGCTGTTCCATAAGGATGGAAAATCTATTAAGGAGTATGTTTGATCGTTTTAGCGAATTTCCCATATAGGGAATAAGCTATTACCGTAGTACTCATGGTAAGACCTGGACCCGGGACCGATTTTTTTTTCGTTTTGAGGTCCCTAGAGGCCAAAAATAGCATCCGTTCAAATTCATATATATATATATTTATATATATATATATTTTGTTATTGTATACATCAATGAGGGCTACTTTAAATGTTACTAAGCAAATCAAAATACCACAGTACCCTAAAAACATTTTATTTTATATTACTTACATGTTTCGGACATTAATGCCATGATCACAGTATAGTATATAACCTATTAGTTTCTTTTATTTACAAACATTATTAGATATTTCTTATTAAAGAACAGGTGATAATTTTTATATTAAGGGAAGGAGGTGTTTTCTTTAAGATGTATAATTTCATTGAATATTACGTTTTGATTTTGAATTTGTGTCAAGTTTAGTAAATTGTCTTTGTCATTAATATGGTGAGTATAAATATAAAGGTCTTCCTTTGTATTCATTTTTTCACCTTTATTTTCAATATCCAGAATGTGCATATTTTTATTCATTTCTGAGTATGTATGGTCGGTCTGAAGAATATGTTCGGCGTATGAGGATTTTTGTGTTGTCATATTGTTTGTTCTTTAATAAGAAATATCTAATAATGTTTGTAAATAAAAGAAACTAATAGGTTATATACTATACTGTGATCATGGCATTAATGTCCGAAACATGTAAGTAATATAAAATAAAATGTTTTTAGGGTACTGTGGTATTTTGATTTGCTTAGTAATATATATATTTATATATATATGTGTCCGTTAGCGCGATAACTCGAGCAAAAATGATCCGATTTTGATGAAATTTGGTACAAACGTGTAAACCTACGTTTATTCGAACGAGTTCGCGAACCAGCATAATCGGACCATGGGAACGGGGGTTTATGGGGGCTTTTATGGGGTAAAAATGGGTTTTTCCCATTTTTGACCCAAAAAACTTAAATTTTTGCAATTTCTTTCCAAACTATTTTGTAGAGCTTAAAAAAACAAATAATTTAGTATATTGAAGCGTTATAATGCGTCTAATGGTTACGGAGAAAATTCAAAAAAATTGTAAATTTAAAATTCCTATGTTATTCTTATGAAGGATAAGTAAACTGTTGTAGTTTGCTTATTTATTAACATATTTTGCCCAAATTTGGAAAATGTTTTTATTTCTTACTAACTATTAACATTTTACATAAAAAAACACTTTAACCCTCCCTGTTGCAGCAAACCTAAGCATGTGTTAAACTGATTTGATTTAAATAGGGAATAAATGTGATATTTTTAAAGAGACATTTTAGTGTAAATCCAATCAGGCAAATGGAAATTCGCTTAGTCTGCAGGTTTGCTGCAGCGGGTGTATTATCGTTTTATCTATGATTATACTCATCCGTATGTCATTATGGTTCTACTGTAGTTCAGTTGATTGTATTTACGTAGGCTGATTGGTGGACCACTATTAAATTATACAGCTGATCAAAATGTAAACAATTCTGTTCTTCATAAGGATAACATGGGAGTTTTAAAAGCCAATGGGACAGAGCCCAAGGGATTTTATCAAAAATGTAAGGTCAGTTTGCAAATCTACGCGACACGGTCTTTCCAATGAGACGTCAATGGATAAAATCGGTTAAGAAATGGCGGAGGAGTTCAGCCGACAAACTTCTTGGTAGAATTTTGACTGCTTACTAAACTATCACTTCTTGTATAACCTCAACAATAGCAAAAATACATTTCTTAACCCAACATTCCTCTCTAAAAAATCTATCAACGTGTTAGCCAACACATTTCATTGTGTATATACATGAAAGGTGGTGGGAGCAAAATAAACTGTTCTCGCTTTTTCAAAAGGTAAACCGTTTTGATTACAAGGTTATATAATATATTTATCAAACAACTGTTTAATTATCTAACTGTTTATAGTTACGAATTTCAGATCTTTTAGTGATTACTCAACATCAAATCGTCGCTTAGTTAATTTATTTAATACTAATAAATTAAAGTAAGGCTATACGTATTTTTACCCGCTCGTTGAACCAAAGGTCCAACTTGCAGTTGTAAGAGAATAGAGAATTTGAAAGCTGAATTAGTAATCAGCCCTACCAGAGAGACATAAATGAATAGAAGAAATAGCGATACATATGTGGACAGTAATACAAAAAGGCTCGAGAACCATGACATTAAAATGTGGAAATAACAACAGTAACGTCCATAAAACGTCAATCCTAGTATTGGAATGGAGTGGAATGAACTATTAAACAGATTCAAGTTAAGAATTAAATGTTAACCTATCGATTTATGGAGATAGACCCTTTTTATACTACAACACATCTAAATTAAACAGGCTTTTCCAAGAAATATTCAAACTTAAATTGATATTATACATTTGCGTATGGGGGTTTATGGGGGGGGGGGTAAAAAACGGTGTAAACAGTAAAACCATTATGTTTTATCTATGGTAAAACTCACTGATGAATAATTACATGGCGTTAATCACACTTAGTTTGAAAACAACAAAAACAAAGCGTGAACAACTAGACGAAGCTAATTTCACTATCATAAATTCATATTGCCGTTATTTCGTATACGATGTCAAGGGTGTACCCAGTATCAAAACTATTGGGGCAAGAGCATACGCGAAACAGGGGTCGCTGGGGAGGCCTACCTGGGGGCCTGAGGGGTAAATTTTAAAAACAAAATGCTGAAATTAGCGTTTTTTACGCTATTTTGAGAAATAAATGTAACAAACCTAGCTCGATAATCCAGCGTTTATAAAGTCGTCCAGCGTTTTTTTATAGTGTATAAAGTGGCTTTGACTGGCTTTATGTCCGTTAATGGGTCAGGTCAGGTTGCTTAGCTTTACAATACACATTTTAACTGTATTTTCGTGCCTATGCCAATTTTTCACATCCATTTATAACACCCGAAATATATGGTAAACTATTTTGAAGAATACCTTATAACTTATGCCATAAGAGCAATTTTGTTCGTTACATTATTGTTGAAGGCAAATGAAAACAAAATAATGTCACAAAAAGTAGGTTTATATTAATTCATTATACTACACAATTGTTGGGGACTTTATTTGTTTGTAATAATACTATACAGTACTTCTTTCAAAGTAAAGTTATAGGTGTAAACAGTTTATCCTTCAGAGACTACATACGTACCGGTACCAGTATTAAATTATTTCAAAAACTTTAGAAAGTGCAAGCAAAATTAATCAGAGCATTTGCTGTAAAGAAAATAAACAATAATTAGCATTCAATACAAAATTATCTCTCTTTTGCGAGAAAACATGCTTTAGAAAGTGCCTAGCTATTTACTCATTTCAATGATGCTCAACAGAAATGCTAGTACTAACTAACCAACTACTGTACTAAAAATGTTCCGCGTACAACGTGAAAAGGCGGCTCCTTATTGTAGCTTAGCTCGTGATGCAATCCTCAATTCTCGGTACAAACTCCAACAGTTATTGTTCTCCTTTATTGTGGTTGTTCATCAAGACTTTCTCCCCCCCAGGGAGCGAATTGGTTACAAAACATAGTGCCTAAGAAGATGCAGAAGTTATGGAGGATTTTTGGTATTTTGCGCGGCCTGCTCCATGCACCCAAAAGAAGTCGCAAACACTAATGGTATACACTTTTCATTTAATTTAGGTAAATACAATTATTTTTAAGCACTGTTTGCTTTTAAAAAAAAAATACCAACACTTAAGATAACCCATTATGATTATCTGTAGGTTTAATAATTAGCTGAGCTTATACTTTGTAAGCATAAGCATGCCAACGCGTGTTGTAACTAAATTGGTACATAATTACTTAGCTCGCGTGACTAACAATATTACAATGAACCAATGAACTAGTTACCCAAATACTGTACTTCGTTCTTGGTACTCAAACAAAACTATGTGGAATTTATATTTAAACATATATTTACTGGTAATTTAAGTTTAATTAAAAATATTATTGTGCGCCTGTGCCTTGGCCTTGATTAATATTTAAGAATGCCAGAGATAATGCATTTTTTCTATTATATAGGAGCCTACGTGATTAAATATCGTTTGTAACTTAGCCAATCAAAATTCTAAGAGAGCTAAACACCTTTTTATATATATAAAAAACTATTAGGCACTTATTTGAAAACGTCGACTTATAAACTTGCACTAATAAGTTTGTAATAATAAAGCTTGTAAATGAAATCTATAGTCTTTGACGTAAATATTAACTTAATTAATGAAAACAATATTTTAAGTTTAGGGTAGCTTACCTACTGAGTCAGTCCTTTCTAACAACTTTCTTGCTGGTTTTCTCAAAGTAATTAGTAGTTAACAGAAAAATTAGTGAATTGTTCTTGGGAGAGTGTCAAGGACTGTACAAAAATTAAGATTTGTCAATTAAAGCAATTGTTAAAGCTTTATTTACCTTTTGTCCTTCAATCTTTGGAGACACTTTTATAAAGTCACGACTATACACGTTGACTGCCTTACAATTAAAACTTAAATTAGCATTAGATAGCCTTAATAGTTCTATCGCTTTTGTTTCCTATACGGTTTGAGGTTTTAATTTTAGAAGTTTGAAATTGAAAATGAAATATTGAACTGCATGATTCTCATCTTACGCATTTTTATGATTGATAAAACAATACTTCTCATCTCAATGTTGTACTATGGACAAAATATTCTTGTGAGAAATGCTCGGGAAGGCCACCAACGCTATGAAACATGAGATAACTATTTCGCCCGTACGAACAACATGCATCGTCTACTGATCACGGATGGCTTTGACAATTTTAACGACACCGATTTGGAAAGTCTAGTGGATGGATTCTTCTACGTTTACATTTATTACCACACAATTTGGAAATCATTCAAACTGCATAGAATTTTTTCACTTCGTTTCTTGTCTGGAAAAAATGAAATTTTGCTTCTTGATTGATAACATTAGAAACATACCACAGTGCTTAAACAGATTTTCCTCAATATTTGTATTATTATAATTTATTAATTATGTCTATGGTGGAGTTCAAAATTATTTTTTATAATTCATATCGTACTACTGGAATTTCAAATATTAATAAATATTAATGTTACCTAAGTTTACTACTTTTATTGTTATTTTCTTTTACCTTAAAACTGAGAACGCAAGAATGTAACATTAATATTTATCAGAATTGTTCTCCAGAACTGGAATCACAGATATGTTTCAGTAAACAGTTAAAGTAATTTGTTTAAGATAATTTTGAATCAACCAACATGCAACTAAAACGTATTAAAAAACGTACACTTCTAAACCATTGAATATAAAATAATTTATAGTCAATGATTAAACCGAACCACCTGAAACTGTATAAACTAAATTATAAATAACGACTTCAAACTTGTTTTACTCACAATTACCGTCGAGGTGAATGCACCCACGGGTAGAGCGAAGCGACTAGATGGAACTCCAGGTTCTATACTCCAGCGACTCCACTACCGTCACATCTACTACTCCAAAACTCCAGTACTCCAGTCCAGTGTCGTCTGTTGGCGTCGGCGTCCCCACCATCGAAGGTGCAAGGTTGCGACACCGGCCCTTCCCATCTCCCATCCGTAGTTTGAATGGTTTCTCCAAGTCAAACAATACGACAGCTCCTCAGACTTGGGACAAACAGGAATTGTTTGATTTTATTTCTAATTAGGAAAAATGTTTCCGTTTTGCACCGACCCTTCCCATCGTTCCACAGAATGTTTTCTCGTAGTCTAACAGTAGTTTTGATGCGGTACAAAAAGTAATTCCTCTAGATTTTAATTATAATTTGCTGGAAAATGTCAAGTTATATTCGTGACAGTAATTAGCGTAGTCAGTCTGAAATATAGTGTCTGTTTCCGTAGAGTGTATTTAGCTAGCTTTTCAACAGAGTTTTTAATTTGTCAATGGTTCTTAACCAGCATGATTGGACTATGGGAACCCCCCCGGTTTATGGGGTAAAAATTGGGTTTTCCCATTTTTGGAAAAAACATAAAATTTTGCAATTTCTTTCCAAATAATTTTGTAAAAACTCTATTCTATAGAATAAAAATAAAAATAAATGAGCAACCGTAGGAATATGCTTTCGTAAAACACTGATTTCTGAAAATTCGCCCACTTTCATTCAAGCCTAACTGAAAGCTGAGCACTATGTTGTAAACTGTTGTAAACACTGTTGTAAAATCGTTTATGTCATATGAACTGCCAAAGTATCACAGTACAGTAGTGGAGGAAGTATAGCATTTTAAACTGCATCACACTTTTGGAGTGGCTAATCAAATTATGTTCGTTTGAATAAAACATTGACTACAGCTGGTCCATGTAGAGCATTAAAAAATTCTAGGATATAATCTAAAATTAATTTAGCCCAAAATCCGTTAATGATTTTTCACCCAATTTTTCTCCCGTTACCGTACGATAGGTAGATTGCATCATTCGACCTAAGACGCAACCAAAAGCAATGCAGATAATTGATGAGCCAGGTTTTGTCGTGAGCTTGTTTTGTTATGCTCTTTTTTCTTGACCGGAACGTTTCAGAGATCACGTATCAGCTGACCTCGAAACGCGCTGTGAATGATTGACTACAGACTACAGCTACCGGCAACAATCAATGTTTTTGTAAACCCAATCAGCTGACATCCTTAGATAACATGTAGAACTGAAGACTTAACAAAGTTCTTTTTGCATCATTGTACAATGAATGATATTTAACAGTGCTTAAGGCCTATGTTATGCAATTGATTATTTACATTTGGAGGACGCACAAATACAACTAAATGCAGTAATTGTATGCTTAGCTGTCTGCTGTACTGTAGTGGGGTCTTGCTTATAGCTTCTCGTTCAGTGTAATTATTTTTCTCTCTGCTCCAGGATTTCTTCTTATCATAGGGGTTTACTTTTTCCAAACCATCAAAAATATAACATGTTATCTCCACCCGTTATAGCCAAAAGATTTCAATACATGCGTGTTAAAAAATGTGTATATCGAGTTGGAACATTTAATGGATTTTTACTTTATTCAAATGTTTTACCTACTTCCTGTTGTCGTAACTTAAGTATACGGAATATCACTACGGTAGTACGGTACGGTAAGTATACGGTAGAGGGGTGATAAATTAAACACTTAATACAGTTTTTATTGTAAAAATCACTGTTTGGGGACAAAACGATCACATATGTTGGCATTCCTGCTTCCTTTACTTCGTTACCGATCACCTGATATGAATTGTTGCATTGCTGTCTGCACGGTTTAATATGTAACTAGGTGAACCCGCGCGAATTCGCACGAATAATAAATTAGGATATTATAGAAACGTCGTTAGAAGTTGCGTCGTTGTATCGACGTTGGTCTTGAGCTCGATCGTTGACTATATGCATCCTAAGTTCTTTTTGCTGTTCAGTAGGAGTATTTTGCAGGACGGAGCTCATCATGCTGAAAACTTGCGCGTATGGATTAATATCAACCAAATGTTGAGTCAAAATGTGCATGAGTTCAGTGCTGCAAGATCCGTTAGCTTTGTTTAGCATTCTTTCTTGAACAGCGGTTTCGACGTCGTAGATATAAATTTGGGCATATGTGGGATGCTCCCCTTCTGACGGTTTAAAGGTGCCAATTGAGTAATAAATTGTGTCGTGCACCTTATATAGTACACATAAGGCCCTCCACAGTTTTCTTCTTCAATTTTAACTCGAGTGCTGACCATTGCGAGCGCAGAGTTGTACGATCTAATGTTCTCTTCAAATCTAATGTTTCTTCTTGTTAGTTTCTGCTTAAATGATTTGCTCCATTTAGTAGGCTCTGGATATAATAGCTTTCTCGGTATGGTGTTAGATTCACTTTTTCTTTATGACAGCAGGATGAAAATCCTTCGCCTCGTCCTCTTTGTTCTTCTTTAAAATGTAGCACACCACATTTCTGACATTTTAAGCCATCTCGCCAAGTGAATGCTGTTCCTCGTCTGGGCTCCTTACGTTTTGCATTGCTTGCCGTATGTTGACTCGCCGTGTCCGACCGGCAATATTTCTTTGTCGTCGGGTCCTTGGCAGGTTTAAACGAAAATAAAATGTAGGCTAAAACTTTTCACCCGTCGTGTCCTATAGGTTCTTAGCCGGGTTTCTCATTATTTAAAAAAAAATACCCCCGCCGCAGCAAACCTGCCGACTAAGCGAATTTCCATTTGTCTGAATTGATTTTCAGTTAAATATATTTTAATAACATTAGGTTTAACGAGTACCTAGGTTTGCTGCTACAAGGAAACTAATAAAGTGTGTTTTTGAGTAAAATATTGATAGCTTAGTACAAAATAAATAAATTTGCCAAGTTTGATCAAAATATATTCATAAACAAGCAAACTACAACATTTGACAATTTTCTCCATAAGAATAACATGGAAATTTTAAATTTACAATTTTTTTAATTTTCTCCGTTACTAATATTCGAACAAAAATACTTTTATATACTAAATTATTTGTTTTTTTAAGCTCTTTAAAAAGGTCTAAAGAGAAATTGGGAAATTTTGTGTTTTGAGGGTCAAAAGTGAGAAAAACCAATTTTTACCCCATAAAACCCCCCGTAAAGCCCCGTTCCCATGGTCCGATCGTGCTGGTTCGCGAACTCATTCAAGTTTATCCCGCTTAACACCTTTAAACCAAATTTCATCAAAATCGGACAAAAATTACTCAAGTTATCGCGTTCACGGACGCATATATATATATATATTTATGTATATGTCTATATATATACATATATAAAAATTTGAACGAATAGTGTTTTTGGCCTCTGGGGACATCAAAATGAAAAAGTAAATCGGTCCCGGGTGTAGGTCTTACCGTGCCACCTACGGTAATAGCTACTTCCCTATAGGGAAATTCGCTAAAACATGCAAACTGTTTACATTTCAAAACCAAACAAAACAGCTGGGATTTATTTATTTTTTAACTAATGTATTGCCATCTGTTTCAAAATATAATAACACTAGTGTACATGTTGCTCGAAATCGAGCAATTGCAAAGAAGTACAGGAGTTATTTATGAACAAATAACTTGTTTAAAAACTAATAACTGTCATAGTTTCCGATGATTTTAAAAGAGTCAACTAAAAGACTATTAACTAATGGAAATACTCACAATTTACAAAACAGTCCTATTCCAGTTTAAAGGGTTAATTTTTTTACAATCAAACTGCCCATGGACGGGAAAAGGTAAGCTTACAATTTAAGTCAACGTAAAAAGGCTGTCAGCTTTTATAAAGTACCATAACTAAGTTATTTAGCCAATTTGTAGACAATAAGGTGTAGGCTACTTTAAACTCTACAGGACAGAGTTAGGCAAAAACTCTGAAATGGTGTTATTTATCATAAGCTTACTCATATGCCAAATCCTTAAAATAAAAATTCAATATCTAATAACTTAAATAATTAAACACGAACCAACATCCAAAACTATACACATTTTTAATACAACATAGATAATTTACACATTGACTGTTTACAATAATTAACACATGTTCATACATATAAAATATTCTTCTCACTTTTAATTTTTGCTTCGCACCAGGAAAAATCTGTTTCATAATCATTGAAATAGATTTATAATAAATAATCTATAATAAAGTTTAAGATTAAATAAACCTACCACATAGTTGTTTAATTTTTTTGGATCAGCTGTCTGAAATTTTTAAAATAGGCATTTGACAGTTCTGGTTGTTTACATTTAAATGTCAAAGCAAATGTAAACATTGTGAATTTTCTCATGCTGCCATGGAGACCAATTATGAATATTTAATTTCTGACGACAGCTGGTGTTTCAAAACAATGTTTGTTTCCCATGTTAATCTTATGGAGAAATACAAAACTTTAAAGGGCCCCAGGGTCTCACTCTCTAATTATTTCCCTAAAAAGAAAGTTTCCTGCACAACTTCATGTTACGCTCTTTCCAATGACACCAAAAACATGTCAATCGGTTCAGTACTTTCGGAGGAGTAATTGTCACAAAAATCCTGCTTGCGTATTAAATAAGTACTAGTGTACATGTTGCTCGAATTCGAGCAATTGTAAAGTAGCCTATTACAGGATTGGCAAACCAATAACAATCATACTTAGCTATCAACATTTCTACAAAAACACACCTATCTTCCCTGTAGCAGCAAACCTAAGTACTCATATTAAAATTAACTTAATGTCATTTAAATAGGAAAAATGACCATTTTAAGGGAATAATTAATCTTTGTATTAATTAAGCCAGGTAAATGGAAATTCGCTTAGTCTGAAGGTTTGCTGCAGATACACAATATTAATAACAGCAAAGATTGAAGAATCTGAATTATTACTTATATCCACGAATTTATCTAACAATTATTTCCTGTAAAATATTATTACAGCAGTTCAAAAATATTGAAACTAACTCGATCAACAAATGATGTAACTGAAAGAATTCCATACTAATGACATTAACATATAGTTTGACAGTTCCATTTAATCAATGTTAAATGTTTACATTCGGGCATAGACAAAAATGATTCGGG